ATTTGCTAGTAGAGTTAATCAATGAGTGAGCTGAATCGAATTGAACCCTTGGGTCAGGCTTTGTGTCAATTCAGTTCAACTATGGTAAGGTCGACCTCGCCATTGCTGGCGAGGATGAGCATGGCGAGGTTGACCCTCGCCCAGAGACAGTGAGGTTGCCCTCACCGGCCCTCTCCTTTGGCTGGTCTTCAAGGTCCGGCGATCGGCTAGAGGAAGAAGGAAGGAAAAAAGAAAATAAAAAAAAATAAAAAAAAATTCTAAAAAATATTAAAATATTATTAAAAATGTTAACATTAGCATCGATTAGGCGGTTACAACACGCAAAACGGCTGACATCCACTTCAGCGATTTCGAGCCAAAATTGACCGAATGGACTAAATTGGTACAAATGCAAAAGATTTAGAATTCAATTAACAAAAAAAAGATTTAGGACTTTTTTGGTAATTCTCTTATTCATGGACTATTTGTGTTATTTTTCATTTAATTTAAGTGTTGCTACTTGCTAGTAGAGTTGATCGATAAGTGAGTAGAATCGAATTGGACCCTCGGGTCAGGCTTATTAACCCGATTGAGTCCGTGATGGCTCGGCCCAGAAGTGCCGTTCGAGCCTTTGTGATCCCGTTGGGCACGTGGATAGTCAAATCCATGATTAAATCTAGAAGGTAGGCGCTGATTGGCTTTTGATTAATTCCCCAGTTACATACAACCATTTTCAGTCCATGTTAGATCAAATAATTATTGAGTCGTACGAATCCATAATTCTTATGCCTAATTTCCTTTAAAATACCCCAATTTTAGGGCCAGTCCTAATGCTGTTTCGAAATTTTTTTATCTAAAAAAAGCTTCAACTTTTGGTGCAGTCCAAATCTGCCCCAGACTTTTCTTTTGTTCAAAAAACACCCAAATTTGTCCTGAACTTTTTCCTTTTGCTATAAAATCATCAACTTTCAATCTAGTCTCAAATCCGCCCCTGTTAGCCCTCCATCCAAAAATTGTCATTAGTCATCCCCAATTTCCCCAATTTTCAAATCAAAAAAAAATTAGATACAGAATTGGGACTAGACATAAAGTTGGAAGTTTTTTTAGAGAATTAGACCATAATTCTTGGGCTCCGTTTATTTTGGAAAAAACATTTTTTGGGAAATCATTTTCTTCATTTTTTGGAGTTGGTAAGCTTAGAAAAATGGGTCAACGGGAAACCCATGCTTAAAATTCAGGAAAATGATTTCCTTTTTGAAAAATCGTAATTTTTTTTTTAAAATATGACTGGATATCGGTGCTTAGACGCGAAACTCTACGATCAAGCACGCAAAACCTCAACGCTGGTTCCCGGGTCCCTGATGTTCGAATCTAGGTTTTTAGCGCCCGGGCCCGAGTCCATCAAGGCCAAGCCTAAGACTCCATCCAAGCTAGGCCTGAAGCCTTAGTGCTTGTGCCCGATATCCCGTTACCCGAGCCTAAGTCCATAAATGCTGTGCTTGGGTCTCCAATACTCGAGCTTTGGTTCCCAGCACTCAAGTCCGAGTTCACAAAGGCCGAGCATGGGTCCTAGGTGCTCAGATTCGGGTCCTTAGTTAATGAAATATTCATATTCATAAAAATATTTTTTTAAAAATATATAATTTTTAAATAATTTTCTTTTTATTTTATTTTATTTTTTCTTTTCTTTCTTTTTTCTTTTTTCCTTCTTCTTTTGCTGGTGGCCAAGCATGGCGGCGGTCGGCGATTGACCACAAGTGAGGGATGAGCTCGCCTGAGGCCGACGAGGCTCAAGCTTGCCAGATTTGATGAATTTGAGGCGTCGCGTGGCACGACAAGTGAGCTCTTCGTGATTCGCTGACCTCTGGCACGAGCTCAAGACCTAGCCCGAGGTAGTCAAATCGATTCCAACGAGAACAACAACGAAGAAAACTAGAACCTCGTTGCGAAGGGCGTCCCATGAGTTCGACACATCCATGAATCAAATAGCTGAACTAAACTTATCACCAAATTGAATTGGAGAAGGGGACGAACACGACAAGAATTCTTTGTGCTGGATCGATTCTGGAACTTTTCTCTGATCTCATAGCAAATGTAAACGACAGTAATCGGAGGTTCTCGTTGCTAATTTCGAGCTCGCCGCGACTCGCTGACCTCTAGCTCAAGCTCGACGAGGAGGCAGCGAGCTCGACCTCGTTGACCTCTAGTGAGTCCTTGAGCTTTCCAATCCAATGAGTCGGCTCGGCTCGGCTCGGCTCGGCTTGCTAGAATCTAGCAAGCTTGTATCTCGCCTGTGGCCAGTCGTCGGCGTTTGCCTTGGCCGGCCATTGGCATGGCTGGCGATTGGCCGAGGAAGAAGGGAAAAGAAAAGAATAAAAAAGACAAGATTAAGAAATCGAATTTTTTTGGTATTCCCCAAGAAAATCATATCAGATTTTTCATATCAAACGGTAGAAAATTTTTCTAGTTCATTTTTAGGTTTTAATCATATAGCAAAAGATATTGCCATTTTCGTGAAAATTGGCTTCCCGAAAAAATATCACATTTTCCGCGAAACAAACGAATCTTGAAAAAATGCCAATAGGCATGCGGTCCTGCTGGTAAAGGAATTAAGGAGGGGCCGGGACGCTAGTATCACAAGTGCAGGATTCGACTCCCGTCCTCTGCAAGAGGCAGAGCAAAAGTCAAAGAACGAGAAAAGCCAGAGATAGAACAGACAAAAAAAAAAAAACCGAGCCTTGATAGTTAATTGCGTGCCAAAGGGGTTGGCCAACCATATTCCTCCGGGAAATGCCAAGTGAACTTAGGACTGTTCCAACTCCTCGACAATTTCAGGGGTTTTTCAAGTCTGTGATTGTGACGGTGCCTATGAAACGAACGCGTCCTATAACTTCTTTGCCTACTACTAATCTGAACACGACGCGTTTACACTCAGCTTGGAAAATGATCGGGATTGTCGAAACTCGAAAGCAATATAGATTTTAATTTCTTTTTTGGGAAGTAAATGGACGAAAAGCATTATATCTTTTTCACTAAAAATCCATTTGTTCGAGCGAAAGTGTTTTTCGGGAATTCGTTTTTCGGATTTTCACCCGTTTGGTTAGTCGAAAATGGTAAGTTAACGGAAAACACTTTCCGATCAAGGAAAACATCATGTATAATATAATTGAAGTGAATTCTCTAATCTGAGGAGGTGAAAACATTTTTCGGAATTGCTCATTGTAACTTTTTTAATATTTTATTCTTTTCTTTTCTTCGTTCTTCGTTCTTTTTTTGCTTTTCTTTTTCTTTTTTTCTTTCTTTTTCCTTCTAGCCGCTTGTCGCCGGCCTTGGAGATTGAAATCATTTTCCAATGAAATCCAAACATCATAAAATAATTTCAATCGCATATCAACAAACAAAGGAAAACTGATTATTTTCCTAAAAAATGCTTTTCGAGAAATCATTTTCCGTTATCATTGAGTTTTTCGCGAAACAAACGCACCCTAATTTCCCTTTCGCACCCCCTCAATTTCCCTTTCCTCCCAATTTCCTAGATCAACTTGCAAACACGTAAAAGCGTCGTGACTTTTGAGGTTGTTCCTTGAATCCCATGGGGTGCCTCGTCGATGCTCCTTCTCTGGCACGACAACCATAAAACTTTGACTTCGAGGTCAATGCACTAATCATCCATATGGTCAAGTATGTACTAACAAAACAGAAACGCATGGTTTAGCAACATTGAATCCAGTTAAAGCATCTCCGGCGACCAACTAATTCGCCTTTTTGCGATTGGAAAAGCATGCTTAGGTCACGACTCTGTTTCCAGATAATACCCGGAGAAAAAGTCCAAATGGCCGGATTTTTCAAGAGAGAACACCGCGAAAACTCGCGAAAACCACACCAGACGCACTTTTTCTAACAAGGCGGGCTCGTTATGATAAACGACGACGTCTCCGTCACCTGACCATGTACGAGCGGGAGAATTTTGCAGCAATTGGGTATGGCAAGATAAGAAGACGAGGTCTACAGAAAAGCTGTCTTAAAGCATAATGAAGAGATGATTTGAAGATTACTCCTGGGACTTTGGCACCACCAAGTACTAAAAAGAGTGGAGACCGGGATACCCCAAAGGCCGGGAAAATTGTACTTTTGCTAATTCGGCATTAAACATTTTAATCGTACCGACTGAACCCTAAACATTTTCATGTTTTGCCACAATTTTGATCGGAAACCGAAGACATGAACGCCGCCGGTCCTAAATGACGCAACCGACACTGACGTGGACCACCCGAAGGCGCGTTGTGTTGAAAAAAAATGCTCCAGAGCGTCCCCATTTGGGCAATTGCACTGTCCCTACGTTATTCCAAGCATTGACCCCAATTCCCTTGTCATCACCATCCTGCACGATTGATGCTCGTCCGGGCCAGTCTAGTCTTTGCAATGACCCGGTCAAAGTAAACCCGGTCAATGAAAAACCGCCTTTCTTTTATTATCAAACTAAAAACATTAAATATTGGAATAAACGAAAAATAAAATCATGGGTAGACAATAATGCAAGATTCTTCCAGCGGAAATTTCACGGTATCGCTCGCGCACTGCTCAGAAGAAATCGAACCCGGACGCGCATCCCCCTATTTCCTTAATGTGTCCCCACCCGTGTTGCATGCTTCGGACCTTAAGCAGCGCACTCCTAATTTTAGTTTTTGAAGCGGCCATAAATACGTGTCTCCGACGTATGTATACATAGAAATGCGGATTGCGCAATCTTCGTGTCGGTTTATTGGTTAAAAATAGGAAATGCCTATATGTAAGGGGGATAGAGCGGCTCTCGATCTTCCGTCTTTTTATCTCCTCCTAATTTTCTGGGGATTATTGCATAATCTAATTTGGAAAAAGGAATATGGATAGACTTGAATCCTGTCCGAAATAGACGACCAACTCAAAAGCCGAATCCAAATTCCGATCCAATAAAAAAAACAAAAAGAAAAAAGCGAATTTAATAAATAATAAATAAATAATAAATCGCAAGTTTTATAAACAAAGCCAAGAAACTCTTCATTCGATCCTCGCCACATTGTTTTGAACGGGTAAACCAAAACATCCGAAGCGGCAACGCCGGCAATGAGATGACAATCACCCTCCACGATTCAACACACGAACGAGGAAGTAGTAGAAGAAGAAGAACCCACCAAGAAAAACTGTTTCTTTAATCTCCGTTTCGCATAGCCTAGACTAGCGCCTCGCGACGATGGACGGCTCGCCTCCGGAGGCGGCGAAGAGGCCGAGCCCCGCGATGAGCCGCAGCAGCAGCAAGTTCTTCCGGTGCTTCAAGCTGGCCGTCGCCGACGACGACGGCGACGACGAGGGAAAGCGGGGTTCGGACGAGCCGTTGTTCGCGTACGTAGCCGCGAAGGAAGACGACGGCCGTGTTGTGAGTAAGATTCCGCCGGGGGGTGAAGGAGACGATGGCTCGGATGATCGCCGGAAGAAGAAGAAGAAAGGTTTGAAATTGTTTTCGCGTGCTTCCAAGGCCGTGTTCTTCGAGACATCTCTGGTGAGTCTTCTCCCTGCCGTGATGCTTCTTTCTTCCTTAAAATGGACATCGAAGCGCGCATGATCGTCTGTCCAAGTTCCAACGACGATCGCGTGTTTCTCTACTTTGATCTCGCGCATGGATGTTGGTGTTATCACGCGATCATGCGTGGCGCGGAGCATTGTTCGCTTGATCATCTTTTTTGCTGCATCGACATTTGCTCGTTTAATTGCGTTGCCTTCTTACTTTTCTGGGTTCTAATGAAGTTGGAAGTTATTTTATCCGGTCGTGTCTTTTCAATCCACCGACCATTTTGGAATGATGGTTTGTTGAATCTGCGTTCTGGTTTGGCTCGACTGTTGACCAACGTCTTGTCTTCAATAGTCGATTTCGATTCTACATCATCACCAGATCTTAATTACCATCTTCGACAATGATCTGGTGGAACTTCTGGAGCAATTCGATTAGCACAGTCGCGAATGATTCGCTGGACTTACCTTCCCGACTTCGAATTTTTGGTGATCGACAGGAGAAGAAGATGCAGAAGAGAAAAAGCACGAAGGACTCACTCGAATCAATCAACAATCTGTCGACGAAAGCAGATAGAATTCTGAAGCTAATGCATCAGAACTCGGGCGGCAGAGTTTTGGACAACGGCGATGTCCGGATAACCGAGTCCGATGCCTCTACGTCTTTGCATTCCTCCGTCGCCACAACCACATCGCCTTCCCTGAGCTCTTCACGGTCTTCGAGCACGAATTCTTCCCTGAGAGAGAGGACCCAGTTATCAACTCGGTCTAGTTCTTTCAACTCGAAGCAGATTCAACTGAGCGCCGTAGAGGACGGTAAAGAGCGGCCTTTGTCGTCCGAGAATTCCGCGATCTGCCTGCTCCTGCTGACCCTTTTGGTACTGGTCTTGTGGGGCAAGGTCTGTGCCATCGTTTGCACATCGACCTGGCTGTTCTTGGTGCCCCGGTGGAGCATAATCAACTGCACAAAGTCCCCATTGGAGAGCTGCGACGATTCGTCGTACGTGGATTCTGCAGAGTATAAGAAGAAGATCATCTTGGAAGGTCTGTTACAGAGGAAACGGTCGCGCGGCACACAACCCTCATGACTCGCGACACATTGGAACATGTACATCAATGGTGCTGCTTCTTTTTTCTTTTCGAGCTTCATGAGATTTTTCGTTCGAGGTTCGGAAACTATAACACCTACAGGAAAGGAGAAGGGATTCTTCTCGCCGGTTTCTCGCTTAATTCTGGAGAATGTCGGGGAAATCCCGGGTTCAGAAGCTTTGGATCGTTGAAACCGGCGAACTCTAGCTTATATTTTTCTAACTATGTTGATCATTTTTGCGGTCTACTAGCTTGTGATCCGGGTTGCTCGAACTGCACTGGGAAGCCATTGTTGTGTTCTGAGCCTGTAACATCGGAATCTAGTCAAGTCCTGATACTATACAAATGTAAATACGAGAATGAAACGTACTTTCTCTTGTCTTAATCGAATTATTAATATTGTTTTCCGTGGAAGGTTTACTGAAGTGCATTGATTTCCCCTCTTTGCACTTTTTTCTGCTTCACGTTCTTCCTGCGTGAGTTCTGTTCTGCTCTGAAGTGGTCTTCTTCTTCAGGATTCATCTGGGTAAACCCCTTTTGATCATAATTTTGTAACTTATTGATCCAAGCACTGGTTTGATTGGATTTCATCGTCAAACTAATGCCTCGGATCATGTGGGAAATCAACTTGTCCTGGCAATTTTTTACTTGACTTTTTTATTCAGTGCGAAAGAAAAGTACAATGAAAGATGGGACCTGGAGAACGTGGCACATCGAAATTTAGAACGTCCCTTTCATTTGCTACTCCCACTCTTTTTCGAAGAAACAGAAAAAAACTATCTTGCTCGCCGGTGCTGCTTTTTCGAAAATGAAATTCATGACCAAGAAAATTGCGATTACAATCTGAAATGCGCACTTGGGATTATTTTATCTATACATTTACTATTGGGATAATTGTTAGAAAAAGTTATAAACCTACTGTACGGATGTCAATTCAGTCTATATCTTTCAATTTGACCAATTTAGCCTTAAATTTTTTTGCCAATGTAGTCCTTCCAGTCAATTTTGGCTGGACACCCGGGACGCCGGACGTCCTATGTGGCACAGCCGGCGCTAATGTGGACAATTTTTGCAACACAGGCCCTTGCTGAGTGTCTGGCGAGGCACTGGCGACCCGGCCTCGGTGGAAAAAAAATTAAAAATTAAAAAAATAATTATAATTCGGACTTTATAAAATATTGTAAACGTTGTCCAAGCCAGTGTCGACCGTGCCACATAGGATGACTGATATCCACGTCAGCGATTTGCAACAAAAAACGATTGGCGAATTGTCAAAATATTTCGGACTGAATTGGTTACATTAAAAGATTTAGGACTAAAGTGGCCATATTGAAAGGTTTAAAACTGAATTGGTATTCGTACAATAGATTTATGACTTTTTCTTGATAAATTTTTCCTAAAGTCAAGTAAATTTTACGAGTGCAGTACTCAAAAGCAGTGCATTTCTAGGATAAATTCTATTTATCATCCCTCTGCTTTTAGGTTTTCTCTGATCAATTTCTTATTTTTTCTGATTTGTCTAATCGAGTTATTTTACTTTTGCAAATTTTATAATTAAGTTCCTTTGAAATTCAATCCGGTGAAATCCAGCAGATATGATCTTCGGAGTGTGGAGCCTTGAAATGTTTTTTTTTTGTCTGTTGCAACTACATTAAACATGTTGTCTTTATAGCATGCTCCGACGTCGTTCTTTTTTTTTTTACGTCCATAAACTATTTTCATGATGGCGTCCACAAAGATTTGATTAAAAAAATAGCCTGAAAGTATAGGGACGAGAAGTATAATTTTGGGAAAATGATACATATGGTCCCTGAACTTTGTGTTATTAAATATTTTTATAAAGTTTATGAATTAAGTTGAACATGTACTAAAAGTCCAGAGACCAAATTAAATAAATTAAAAGTTCAGGAATCAATTATACATTAAGGGCCCGTTTGGTAACGTGCCAAACAGTGAAAATTTCTGTTCTTTTGTTCCCAGAAATAGTTTGGGAACAGAAATGCGTTTAGTAAACTTTTTGTTCCCGGGCACATTTTTGCAAATATTTGTGCCGAGAAACAGTTTTGGAAGAGAAATAAGAAGTAAAACAAAGTTGTTTCTTGTTTCTCGGCACAATTTTGAGAATCAGTTTTTTTTCTTCTTTTTCTTTTCTTTTTTTTGTGTTGCTCTTCTTGGGTTGTGGCCGGCAAGGGCGTCACAGCCCTTGCCGGCCGCCGGCGGAGGCGAGGGTCCCCCTTGCCGGCGAGGGCGAGGGCTGGACCCTCGCCGCCTGGGCGAGGCGGCTCGCCGTCGGTCATGGCGAGGTCGGCCTCGCCCAGATCTGGCGAGGCCGAGCCTCGCCGTGGGTCGCGACGACCTCGCCCAGATCTAGCGAGGCCGAGCCTCACCGTCGCGACCCACGGCGGCCGACCTTGCCGTGGGTCGCGGCGGCAAGGCTCGGCCTCGCCGGATCCGGGCGAGGCCGAGCCTCGCCGTCGCAACCCACGGCAAGGTCGGCTTCGCCGTGGGTCGCGACGGTGAGGCTCGGCCTCGCCCGATCCGGGCGAGGCCGACCTCGCCATGACCGACGGCAAGCCGCCTCGCCCGGTGCGGCGAGGGTCCGACCCTCGCCCTCGCCGCGCGGGGGACCTCGCCTCCACCGGCGGCCGGCGAGGGCCGTGACGCCCTCGTCGGCCCTGGGCTGTGGCCGATCGCCGGCCGCCGGTCGCCGGCGACCGGCCATGGCCTGGGTAAAAAGAAAAAAAAATTAAACAATTCAAAATATTATTAAAATATTATTAATAAAAAGAAATTTGTGTGTAGTTACCAAACGTATTTATGTTCTTTTCTATTCCAGGAATAGAAATTTTGGACAGTTTACCAAACGCCTTCAAATGCACAGAAATTATTTCCGGGAACAGAATAAAAAAAAATCATTTCTGTTCAGAAATAATTCCCGGGCACAGAATGATTGTCATGCGCACCCTAAGTCAAAGCTCACGGATCATTTGTGTCCTTGTCCCTATAATTTTTCCCGATAAAAACGATCAATTTTGGTAGGTTTCAATAAGGCTCGAAGCCGATGGAAATGCATTGAGTTTCTGGGCTTGGGCCATGGTCATGCAAAAAGGTTGATGGGGCTCGAAGATTGTAGCTCCATCTTTTGGTTACCCAAGAAATGAGAATATGCACAACGTTGTCAAAATAATATTTGACCCCTAAGGAATAGCAAATCTAATTTAACACCTGTACATGCCTTACACAATATAGTCGTGATTCTTTCTGATGCTATAAAAGTGAACTTTCGAGAGAACAGATGACCGAGAGAGTTAATTGGTCTCGCGACGGCATCTATTTCAAATTCATCATCTACTCACAACCAATCGCATAAGATTTCGGAGTGTGATCATGATACTTCAAAGAAGCACTAACTTACTCGATCCATTAAACACTTATAGTCCGAGGGAAAATGCAGAATGCGGGCTCAAACTCTTATGGCAATCCATTTTTAGGTTCATTTGTGATACCCGTTTTAATAGTGGGGATGATGCCCGCTATCTATAAAATAGACTATGGCGAACGAGCGTAGACCATCTTCACATAAAACGAGTCATCCCCGAAAGAGAAAAAAAGATAATAGCGGGCCTCCTACTAATCCCTAGACTCGAAAGCTTTGATCATTTTTCTCCATGTCTGAAGCAGCATCGAGTGGATAGGGGAGAGGGAGAGCTGCTCGGTTCTTATTATATGTAGGAGAGGGGGCCTAAAGAGAACCAGACACTTCACAGACAAACGTTGCTTTTTCCATGTCTGCGAAGTCCCTCTGCGTCTCTTGTACCGCTTTGCAGTACTACTACCAACACAACTAACAGATGATGGCGACGCTATTTACATGCATCAATCAATTGCACCAGCACCACCATCCCCGCTCCGAAAACGCCATTCCCCCACCGAATATATCTCGCACAGATCCGTCCTCTCTTGGACGGTCCAGATCGCAACTCCCTCGTGTTTTTTTTTCACCTTCCTCCTGCCCTTTTTCTTGAACTGCGTGCTGTCGATGCTGTCCCCCTCCTAATAAAATCTTGCTGCGAGCCCCACGAAAAATACCCAGTTCGCCCTCCATCCGCGTCCCGAAGAGGGGCAGATCTGGTCCACAAGGTGGCGGTGGAAACGAAGGGTTGTGGCAGAGGAAGAGGAGTTGGGGGGGGGTGCGAATCTCAGTTGGGGGGAGATTCAGGTAAGGAGAAATGATGTCTTTCGGTGGTCCAGGTGGGCGAGCCAAATTGGTTGCAGAAATGTAGAAGCCGAGTCTAGTTTTGCCTTCTTTATCCCGAAACGGCAATTCACTTTCGCAGGTCGCGTAAAGCCACGACTATCAGTTGCTCCCACCCCACTTAAGCCTCGCCCTCGTAGCAGCAATCTCTCGGAAGAAAATGCCAAGGGATTGAATTCATCTGTTTCCGATTTTCATTGACGACCCTGAATTTCTTTTCCTTTTCCTTTTCACTTTTAGATGTTTTAGGGAAGTGGGTTCTCGTCAATTTGGTGTTTAGAATGCATGAAAAGTGCTTCAGAGCATTTCCCTAATAGTAAGATCCCCCCAAATTTACTTACAAAGACTTCTTTAGAAGATTCATTTGATGTCCTAACGAGAAAACGGGCAAGATCTAGGCATCTCCTTGCATCATTGAAAAGCAAGCATTCGCCAACCAACTCGCTTGTGGCATGAATACCCTCGAACCGAGTTTATGATAAAAGGTACGCGACATCCAATTCGTGAGGTTTCAATCGATTGAAAAGTCGAGACAAGACGATTTGACAAGATTTTCTCGGTAGAGATCACCAAGCAAACTCTAGTCACAAGGAGAGAGGGAGACAAGAAATCGGTCCGCAAAACTCAAAGGTTCATCGCCAATGTTTCTTTCTATTTACCTAGGGCCACCAGCTAACCAATGTCTCTGGCTAAATCCAAACCAACCGGCGGTGTTGGTAAACATGCAACATGCATCTTCGTTTGATGGGGATGGAGTAGCTAATGTTGGGGGTGGTCCTAGCCCTAGGGGGAACACATCACATCGTCGAACCTCCCCCTCCTCGTCCTGGGGGATCTATGTTGTATTTAAGCTTTTGCCTTCAGACATAGAAAACAAGCTTTGATACACAGCACAGATCCCAATGATTCCAGACCGGACAAGGGGGGTGTGCACAATCTCCGCCGCAGACCCCGACGAATCCACCGTGTCTGCCCAACCCTGGCAACAACCACCACGAAACGGCCCCTCCACGTGTCGCCCCCACGGTTTTTTTCCCGGGCCAATTAGCAAAGAACAATACACGACGGTCCACCATCGTTCCCACAATCAAACACGAAGTTACGCAATCTTTTCCCATTGTCACAAATGTGACACGAACTTTCAACCTCGGATGAGAAATTGGAGCTGCTAAGGACAGCTCTACACAAATTCGTCCCAGTTCGATACGAAAGGTAGTTCCTACCTCGCGGTAGCCCCAAATTCCTCTACAGCCCCCAAGTAATTACTATGCCCCAAGTTACTACGGGCCATTGTTATGGGTGCGCACATCTTTTCTGTGTGTGTATATATATGACATAACATCATTAATGTATATGACGTGCCAAATAAAGAGAAAATCATGTCTAGGCGGTCATCGTTGACTCGCGCGGAGAAACCAGATGTCCAGCACGATTATAAACTAGATGCTTACATAAAATCAAGCAAATTAGTTCAATCTTCTGTGCCAAAATCTGAGAGAATCTGGACTACTATTGGCATGTATGGACTTTGGGCATTCAAAGATCTCATTCCTTGCCACAGCTCTATGCCAAAATTTGCAAATGCGACCCATGCTGGTCACGCGGTTTCAATTTCATAACAAGGGCCTCTAAATTTTTTTTTCCAAGATTAATAAGTAAGACGATGGTCCCCGGGCCTAACCCTAATACAACAAGTTTTCCATTCTAAATTCGACACTTGTACTTATGTGCACGGAAATGGTAATTCGGAAAAAAAATACGCGTCCATATGGCATTCTTTGTATGTCATTTTAAAGCAACATTCGTTGGAGAAGTGGACCCTCAACATGACTTTGTGGTAAACTCTAGACTCTTTGCTCAAACTCTTGCACATAGGCAAAATTATCGTCAATTTTTCGGGAATACTTTCCATTGAACATAGGCAAAATTATCGTCAATTTTTCGGGAATACTTTCCATTGATTTTGTGGATCTCAGCAAGATGCAGTTGAAACTCGGAAGCAAGCGTGCTTCTGAAAATAGATAACTCGACTATTAAATCTCTTAACAAAGATCTTCATGCTCACTGACCATATAATGCACGTAACAAATGAGCTGCAAAAACGAATTCTAACTCCTAAGACCAACAATGATTAAACGCGAAGCAATTAATAAACACTAAGCATTATAAAATTGGCATTAATTATGGTTAATAAATCAAAGGGCATGTGGAGGCATCATTACGGTGCTATTCATAGGCAAGATTCACACATTCATGAACAAATCTTACTCTAAATGATTGCCCGGTCACTGTCCAAATATTATATTGGTATAAATATTTTTATAAATTTACAGGATCTTTGGATCAGAGGATCTTAACTGCATTGTGCATATATATATATATATTTATATAAATGTGTATAATTTATTTTGTTTGAATTTATTTGATACTTAAGTGTCCAAAAGGGCCATTTGTTATTGGAGGAAAGGAAATGATTACATGCTGAAATTTGCCAAGGCCTAGCTGGGCGGCTGTGGCGCGCCCACTTTCTTGTTATAGCAACTTCCAAAGGAATAATGCGCCCCTCTCTCTCAGTCTATTCCCCCCTCCATAGGCTCCATGAGTAGGGTCATTTGAGTCAAACCCATGACAAATTCATAAATCAAACTCTTAACATATTAATCTCACGTACCCTCTTATTTATTTATTTATTAATCCAAGTATATTCAAATGTTTCGACTCGATTATTATGGTTTTCTTTTTAATATGCGTGCTTATCAGACTGAAAAAAATTGGAGCCGTAGGTAACTAATGGAAGAGTACACTTATGGGTATGGAAAAAATCACGGATGAGATGGACGGATGGACGGTCGAGAGGGATAAGAATTGAGTAACACAATGTATGCTTAAGAGAGTAATTTCAGAGAGAAGAAGGGCGGCTAGTTTCTACTTCCTATAATAACTTGTAACTAAATCAAGATCGAGACCGAGTTGTTCGTGATGGGTAGTGAATAGAAGAAATTTATTGCGAGTTTTTCAAATTAATGTTGAGAAAAGTTGAATGATTAATTTGGTCTTTGGTCGATTGGATCCATACAAAGGATTTCACTGAAACGTAAAAGCCGAGCTGTGGAGACTAAGGGATTCGTAGGCCTGTTATGAAATTGATTTTTTTTGTGAAATTTTGAGAAATTTTCCTTGTATGGAGAATACTCGATGTCAACTTATAGGCTCGTAGGTCTCATATTAGAAATCTCACAGGCACATGAAATCTCTTAGGGACCACCTACTGATTAGATGTACACACCCTTACTTATTTACTACATGTAAACTTTGAGTATTTACACGCTTTATAAATATAACTTTTACATTAACTTACACAAAACCACCCTTTCGACGGCTTATTTCTTGAAGAATGAAAGAGCTGACACTGATGATAACAAGTCACAAGTGATGGTTTCTTCACCTTAGGCTTTCCCCAAGGCCAATTGGGTAGTCCAAATCAAGACATAATAGGATTTTTTTTGTTGTTGTTTTTTCTACTAATTACACGAGCAAACTATGTTTCGAAAAAGGAACGAGCATTATAATATATGAAAAGATAATCCCAATAGGCATTTCCATATATCGACCTAGCATGCAGGCGCATGTACATACATAATACGCACAACAATGGGAAGGTCATTACACAGCATAACTAGGAAATGAAAATTACCCCAATGCTAGAGATATATACAATGATTGTTATATGGTAATGAGAAGATGAAGTTTATCCATTAATCTCTTGAATCAGCATCTTATCCCCAACACAAATCATTTGCCAAAACCAGACGAGTTTCTCTTACATGGAGTTCCCTCCTTATTTTTTTTTTGTTTCCAAACAAACAAAAAACACCCACATTGGATTGGAGTATTGGACCACAAACAAACAAAATGCAAAGTACACAGATTTTACCATAATGTGGAAAAAGCTTAAATGGCATGAACATAGGATAGGGGTTGGGGTTGGACGCATATTACACCTTACTCACGATTAAGACATGCAAAATCTGAACATGTTCATGGCATAATCCACATGTTGCCCCTAATGTCCTTCTCTCTCTTTCTCTCTCAACCTGTTCTTTAAATCAGGCCCACCACAAAAACCCTCCATGTCTGAAATCTAGCTCTCCCCTCTTGAGATCTTATTTCCCTCAAAGAACTCGCTCTCTCTCCAAGGTTTTGCAGCCTCTCCCATGGCTACTTCTGCCGCAACTCATCCGCTCCTCATGGCCGCAACCGAGCCCACAAGGCTCGAAAGGACTACCAACAGCATCGTCACTCCAGGGGCTGATCAGAACAGGCAAGAGCAGCCATCCAAGCCGAGGCCGAGAAAGATGGCCAAGCAGCACCCGCCCAAGAAGCAGCCGCAGAGGGGCATGGGGGTGGCGCAGCTGGAGCGCCTGCGGCTCCAGGACCAGGAGCGCTGGACCAAGATGCCCGAAGTCCCCCCTCAACCCTACCCTCCCTACTTCCTTCTCCACGGCAATCCCCAACGCCCCGGGTTCTCGTTCCCGGGCCCTCTCGACGCGGCCGGCGGCGTCCCCGTGCAGCAGTACTGCGCACCGCCTACCCGACCGCCGTCCCCGGTCAGCACGGGGCTGGGGCTGGGGCTGGGCATGGGGAGGGGGTTTCTGGTCCAGAGGAAAGACGATGGCGGGGGTGATCACGGGAGGTTGGCGCCGGCATCGGCTCCGGGCCAGGTCATGTTCGATGCGTTCGGAGCCGGGGCTCCGGCGGGCCGAGGCGGGAGTAGTAAGGCGGTGGAGACCTCGAGAGAGCTCTCTTCAATTCCAAATGCTCAGCAGTGCATGTCTGACCGCTGCGACGTCTGTCTCAAGGTGTGATCCCCATTTTCTAATTCCAAACTAAGGTCCTCGTTCTCTTTGTCCATTTTATACGGCAACCAAAGCATTTCAATCTTCTTCTTCGTCTACTTCCTGTTAAGAGTATTCTTGTGGAGAACTGATATGATGGTTTTAGGGGGTTTCCATTTAGGACGAGTAGAGAGAACATGAGATTACTAGTTACTGTTACATTAGCTGATGAGTGAGCGATGATGAGCCCTCTTGTCTTGTTAACGAGTCTTAGTATTTTGTTTTTCTGGAGGCGATGGACCCTTTTGTCCCATCTTAAATGATGAAACGTAAAAGACTACTGAAAGGTGTTCTCTTTTTATACGCGTTCCTGCCAAAAGGGCTAGGCTTCAAGGCTAGGAGATACTGCAGCGCTTTTCGTTTTGTTTATTCTTTTCTTGTCTGTTTTCTATTGGGCGACGATTTCACAGACCACTTCTTTTTTGGCCTGCAGAAAAAGCGCATGGATTCTCAAAATGCTGGGTTGTTCGTTAACAGAGCCAGGGAAAATTACCCAGAGAAAATGCGGGTCGGTAACTGCGATTTTCTCGGACTGAATCTGGAGATTCCGCAATCAAAAGCAGCGGCTAGGACTCCCATTTACACCGCTCACAATCTCGATGATGATGATGATCAGGTAAATCAAAGTCAACCATCGTTCTCTCCTGTCTTGTGTAGTGTTGAGAGAGATTGATTGCTCTTTTCTTGTTCTTCCTGGGGGGTTTGTTGCAGAACGTGGAGGTGACGGCAATAAGGAGGAGGGTGAACATATCCGGCGGTGGGGTGTCCATGGAATACGAGTTTTTTCCTGGAAAAAGTGGGAGGAGCACTTGGACCGAGGGTCTGAACTTTCCTGCACAAGAAGAAGCCGCTGCTGATACTGATGCTTCCGAAGATGGCGGTGAAGCTTCCAATTCCATCGATTTATCACTCAAGCTTTCTTGCTAAGCAAACCCCATGAACGAAAAAACAAGAACAAGAAAGAGAATCTGCCCCCATTCTCTCTCTCTCTCTCTCTCTCTCTCTCTCTCTCTCTCTCTCTCTCTCTCTCTGTGTATAGTTTCTGTTGTGTCTCACTTTACACAATTGTGTGTAGCTGCATGTGACCCAGAACACAGGTCAGCCTTTTGGTTTTCCATCTTGCTGTTGAACTAACATCTCCCTCACCAAAATAGTGCAGCACAATCACTGATCATTGCTTGCTCTGACCTCTCTCTCTCTCTCTCTCTGTGGGAGATTGCATCATTCATTTTTCACATTTGAATGTTTAATGGCGTCGGTATTGCCCTATGATACACCTAAACATGTCCATGTACTTCCTGCAACTCCACTGCTTGCTGTTGCCCTATATCCCTGTTCGATTAGAGTGCTGTCTAGTCCTATTCAATTCCTACTTGTTGCTGTCATATTGCTATTAACAAGGCATATATCAAAAGACTTGGCCTGACGTTCATGACCCAATTGGGTGACAAGTACTTCTTTTCTCTTTTTGCAGAAGAGAATTATGGAAAAGGTTCCTAAGCTTTGACATATCCAAACGTATAGGGAGGATCCTTATCAACACATTGGATAACTTTGGAGAAATGAGATTGTTTAAAATTCCAAATGTCACTAAACATAATCTTAGGGTCTTTTGTGTACTCACAGATATGGAGATACTGCGACGGAAACAATTTGCCTTAGGCCAGGCAATAGTGAGCGACGAAAACAAACTTCTTGGCCTTCGGCCAAGCAATAGCGACGAAGCATGGATTTTGTCGTTCTCGAGAGACACCAATTGCACCGACACGTAAATTTCTTTGCCATTACTCCACCTTATAGTGATGGAATATCAGTTTTGTTGCGTCAAATCAGATTAGAAACTACCTCGGGCAATGAAAAAGATCGATTTCATCATGCTTGGATTGAGCAAAGGCGACGAAATCAAATTTTCGTCCTCATTGCATTGAGAAACAACAACAAAATCTTACAGCATGTTGCCTTTGATAAGACTAGGAACTTACCAAACACGACGAAACTAATATTTCGTCACCATTGCTTAGTCCAAGCACAATGAAGCTTAAGCTTTGTTGCGTTAGGATAGAACATAGAACAGATCCGTGCTTTGGCGATAAAACTCGTGATTTGTCGCCATAGGTTATCTCTACAATGACCAAAGTAGATTGTCATTGCGAATGTCGTCGTGATTAAATGCTACGAACGTAAAATTTTGTCGTTGTTGCTTCGAGCAATCGGGACGTTTCGTCGCCTTTGATCTAAGCAAAGGCGACGAAAAATGTTGTTTGTTGCCTTTGGTCTAAGCAAACTCGACGAAATGAATTCTTCGTCGCCTTTGATAAGAAAAAAACAAGCATGAGGCATCGAATTCATCACTTCGTCGTGTCGGTATCCAAAATTGGGTTTTTTTTTTAGATTTCAACTTGGTTTTGACTTGAATGAAGCAAGATATTTTCCAAGTATATGTATACATAATGATAAATTACATAATTTGAAGAATTTTCTATGTCGATCTGTGTGATATACGTTGAAAATTTCAGACTAATAATAAAGTTATAATATATAAAAAGTCATAGTTACGGTTAAAACATCGTATAATATAATAAAACGCTAACTCAATAATACACTTTAGATTAAAGGCAAAGTGAAATTACTCAATTTTCTAAAATCATGATGAAACTTGTTATATAAATGGTTATCTTTTAAGCCATTGAAGTGGAGTTAATCACAAGCTCCAATGTCAGCTCAAATTATGTGCACATCTTCATTCATACTCGTTTGGATGACTTACTTGCTTTTCAGTAGGTTTGGAGTGATCGATCGCTCACTCAACGCAACACTTATGAAAAAAGTAGAAATGTAAATTAAGGAAGCACATTCAAAATCCGCTGGTGCTTGAAATGATTGAAATATGCATTAGGGATTTAGTAACACAACTATATATTGTGTATTCCTAGAGAACAATCGATCCTCTCCAACACAGAAAATGTACGCCGAATGTCATGGATAAGGTTCCCGTGATATGTGAGAGGTACCCGTTCCCGAAAAATGCCGAAACACTTAGTTTGTGTTACGTTTACTGAACAATGTAGAAAACCGAATCGGTTGCTTTTGATTATGAACTCAATTTGTCGAGGTGACTCTAGCTACACTATCAACAACAATCTTGAGCTATGCTATTGACAGATGATACACATAATACTATTGAACACGCGTCTTCTTTTACACAAATGATGGATCTCAGAATAGAGAACTTCTGTTTAAAAAAGAACCCTAACATCTCTCTCTCTCTCTGCCTGCTGCCGTTGCAGGAGGAAAGAGAGAGAGAGAGAGAGAGAGAGAGAGAGAGAGAGAGAATTGCGAGGATTGCAGTTCTGGAGTATGTCTACATATTCTATGCGCTGAAACAAAGAAAACAGCATCTTGGCTTTGCTGTTTATGGGTGTCCGGGCAAAAGAACGCGAGGGGAATAATTAATGAAGTGGAGGAAGGACAGGCTCTCTCGCACATAAGCTGAGATAGATCAAGCGTACAAACACCACCCGTAACACATATACATTGAATGAATAATGTCTACAAGACGATCCTCTCTCTCTCTCTCCCTCTCTTTTATAGCGAACGCTGCTGCGTAGATAACGATCAGTGAGTGCGGCAGAGAGAGAGAGACAGAGAGAGCGCAGGGAGATGTGTACGCAGAAGAGGCATCACACACACACACACACACACGACACAACGCAGAGAGACAGTACACATCTGTGATGAGCAGAAACATAAATATGCAGGTGATCGACACTGAGAGTGTCCGTGTACTGTGAGCCAGAGGGGCCTTGTTTGGCCCTTCTTCTCTCTCTCTCGGAGCAGCTCCCTCCTACTCCTCATTGGGTGCTGCATGCTCAGTGATCGCTGCCTTACAGAGCTTACTGATGCGGCAGCTTTTCTTTCTTTTTGCTTTAAGGGTTGGGTATATACGTCGAACCACACGTTCTTGGAAGATTAGTAAAGGAAGCGTTCTTTACATAGTCTCAGTTGTATATTTATTGGTCATGAATAGATTTGACAAAAAAAAAAGGAAGATTTATGTGACTTGTCTAGCGAAAAAATGAAGGCCAAAATATTTGGTAGTAAAGGAAGCGTTCTTTACATAGTCCCAGTTGTATATTTATTGGTCATGAATAGATTTGACCAAAAAAAAAAGGAAGATTTACGTGACTTGTCTAGCGAAAAAATGAAATGAAGGCCAAAATATTTGGCAAAAAAAAACGTGAACGGCAGGATTCGAACCTGCGCGGGCAAAGCCCACATGATTTCTAGTCATGCCCGATAACCACTCCGGCACGTCCACCTTGTTGTGCTCTTTTTGCAACTATATATATATATATAAGTTAGTAATTCGAAATGACTTATATTAATGGAGAAACCGTAAGGAGATACGGATGAGAGTAGAAGGTAAGGATGATTAGTTCCGGGGTGGTTCGGTTACCACCTTGAAACTTAGAAGTGGATCGGGTAGGATCGATTTTTCGATTTGTAGAATCGGGAACCAACCCACCTAGCCCTAGAGTCAGCAGTTTTTTTTTTTGTTTGGTTTCTTCTAATCCCTACATGGAAATAACTTTTTTTACAATGAAAGTCCAAAAATGATTCTATAGGAGAATAAGGCAATTATTTCTACAAGGTAAAATTTGAGTTTAATTGAGGGTTTGCCGAATAAAATATATACATGTCCGTTTCGGTCCCGCTCCTAAAATCGGGAACCGGACCAATTCCCAAAGAAACCACCTAGAATCAACCAATTCGATCTGATTCGCGATTCAATTTGGGACTGGTGCTTACCCCTAATAGAGAGTTCCGACATGGAACTTGTCCGTGCCAATTGGACCAATAAAACTTATCTTCACATAAAGAACTAATAACAATTAAATGGACTTCAGCCCCTACATTAGACGGAGCAAATGGATTCCACAAGATAAATCGCCGAGAATTCGAGAAACAACACTCGAAGAAAACATAAGGGACAAACAAAACTGAGGCTTACAACTCCCCCCCCTCTCTCTCTCTTTTATATAGCCAAAGACAATTGCAAGTACCATAACAAACGATGCGACCGATCAATCAAAAGATTCAAACGACGTGCATCCCATCCTAGTCAAGATTAAAACGATTGATTTATTTCTTCACGCGTCACCGGCGCACCCCTGCAAAAAAACAAAAACCCCCACCATGGGTGGCAAAGATCTTGCCTTGACCCACAAGAAATCGTTTGGGCTTGGGCTGGCTGCCTCCTCCTGCTGCCGTAGCTGCCGTTGCCCAGACAAATCGTCAAAGCATATTCTCCCGTTGCGCACACACTCTCTCTCTCTCTCTGTTTCGTTAATAAAAGAAAGAAGTAATCGAAAGGGCAAAGACTCCGTCGCTCAATCAAAATCAAAGAAACTCTCTCTCTCTCCACCAAAGCTTCCGCCTTTCGCCGCCGCCGCCCCACTCCGACAATGCAGCAGCCGCCGCCCCCGCCGCACCACCACCACCACCACCACCACCACCACCACCAGGACTCCGATCACCCCCAGCTCCCCACCATCAAGATCCACCACCCCTCCTCCCCCCGCCACCACCACTCCTCCGCCACCCCCACCGCCGGCGCCAACCGCAGGATCGGCGTCGCCGTCGACCTCTCCGACGAGAGCGCCTTCGCCGTCCGCTGGGCCGTCGACCACTACCTCCGCCCCGGCGACGCCGTCATCCTCCTCCACGTCAGCCCCACCTCCGTCCTCTTCGGCGCCGACTGGGGCCCCCTCCCCCACCTCCCCACCGCCGCCCCTTCCCCCGAGCACCCCCTAAACCCTAACCCTAGCCCCAACCACCAGAACCGGCCGGAGGAGGTCCAGAAGTCCCAGGACGACTTCGACGCCTTCACGAGCGCCAAGGTCGCCGATCTCGCGAGGCCGTTGAAGGACGCCCAGATACCGTACAAGATCCACATAGTCAAGGACCACGACATGAAGGAGAGGCTGTGCTTGGAGGTGGAGAGGCTGGGCTTGAGCGCCGTGATCATGGGCAGCCGGGGGTTCGGCGCCGCGAGGCGAGGGAGCGACGGGAAGCTCGGGAGCGTGAGCGATTACTGCGTGCATCACTGCGTTTGCCCTGTTGTGGTTGTCAGATACCCCGATGAGAAAGATGGTGGAAATGGCGGCGAACCCATCGTCGCGGTGAACGAGGTCGCCGAGGAGGAGGATGAGGTGGCCGTGAGCGTGGCCAGAGACGAGCAGAAGCAGAAAGGTTAAAAAAAAGAAATTCCCCATTCTTGTGTTAATCGATGGTGATGATGATGATGCTGATATTTCCGGTTGAGATGAATCACGACAGGCGTGAGGATGTGTTCGTGCTTTATGTGTAGCTTGAGAATTGCAGCTAGCACCTTGGGTGTTGCTGTCGACTGCTTGTTGTATCCAATCTCATTTGATGTTGCTTCTCTGTGATATATGACCTCGCACTGTTATAAGCTAATTTTCTTGCTTCCTGGTTTGAAGTTAAGTCAGAAAGCCTAGTGATGAGGTATGCACTTGTTGATCATGCTATTTAGCGCGAATAATTTGCTACTATATGGATAGTGTTGTGTCCCAGAACTCCCTCAAGCTTAAATTATGTTGTTTGGGGTGCTGGTTGTGCTTTGAAAAGGCCGAGGTCTGCATGCTATAGGAACTTTGGCTTTGATTGCCAATACTCGCATGATATTGATTCCCGTCCCCATACTTTAGATAGGTTTTTTCCTACGTCTTCCAGACAATTTCTCCGCGGGAGCTTTTTGAAGGTACAAAATTAATTGAGGTTCGGCGCAATGCAAGCGGGGTTTTGATCCGTTCTTTAACTTATCATGGTGCAATTTGGGGTATTTGGGATTTTGAAACCGTTCTCCCTTGTGTAGAGACGAGATGCAGAGCCTAATAGTGGTAGAAGTAATAAGATGTTTCTTTGCCGGACCAGAGCGAGCACTTAAGTATTTACATTTTGAGTTTGATGTATTCTCCGAGTCTATAACTAGGCAATGATAGCACTAACATGATGGAATTTTTAATATTTTTTATAGATAGCTTGACTTGTTATAGTAGGTAGAATGGGAGAGTCACCACTTGAACCTTAGGATGTAGTTCTGTGGTTCTAGTCCATATGGATTCGTAATTTATCCTTACTAGCTACCATTGATTGTTCATTTGATGAGTTCTTAAGAGTCCTTTGTTTGATTTTACTGAAAAATTTCCTCTGTAGTTAGTTTCATTTCATTTAATTGGTGGCTGAGTTAGATTCTAAATATCCCCAAGAAACGTTTTGAGCACAGACAGTTATGAACTTATTGTCACTATAGATTGTGTTGGTGGACAAACGTTGTAGTAGAAGGCCCTCGCATCCCTGCTATCATGTTTAATGTTTAGGTTTAGGACTTCTCATTCTTGCTAAAACTACACCTTTGCATTCCCTGAGGTCATGTTGTTTTTTCTTGTTTAGTGGACCCTTTCCTCAGGGGATTTGTGTTTGTTTAGAGATAAGGTCTTTGGTGTGCCGATACTCATATTGTATGTGAAGAGCAACACATCTTGCAGAATTTGACCCACTAAGTTTTACTGTTCTTGGGGCAAAACAATATAAGTTTCCAGTAGATTTATGTTTTATAATTCCTAAGAGCTAATTTGAAACTTCTGAACTATCTGTTTACACACCTGACACATGACTTTCAAATGTAACCTTCCAGGAAGTTTTAGATAAGCTGCGTGCTCTCTAGCCTTATGGGACTTCTTTAAGGGTTTACAGTGATTGTATGGTCATTATATGGTCGAAGTGCTTACATTGTCCGCTTCAAGCACTTCACTGTTAGAGCTATTCTGGGGGCCCACTAGTCAGGCAAGAGTAACTACTCGTCAATCACTATATATGCCATCCGTGCACCCTGCAATCAGTAGCATACGTCATGCAAAGATAATGGGCAGTGTGCTGGTAACTCGGGCAGTGTGCTGCTGTTACCATGTGGCTTAGTTACAGTGGTGGAAGTGGTAGTTTCTTCGAGGAGTGGAGATGTCTGCTAAAGAAATAGTGAAGGTCAGGTCGTTAATTTTCCTGATTGAGCAGTTTTGGTAAATCTAGATGACAGTGTGATTCCAGCTACAGAGTCACAAGGAACACCATGTACTATATATGCATTTATATAACCTTACGTACTGTTAACCAACTTATAGTATGTTCCTCTATCGAGGAGCTGCTGTAGACCATGGCGATCGTTAGCTTTTCCTTGTAATTTGGTGGCATTTGCAGTCATACCATCAGGGAAATCACAAGGAAAATTATAATTTTCATCTAATACAGTAGCAGTTGTAAAGTTTATGTTGGTCTCCTCCTTATTTATGCCACTCTTCCTTTCTGAGCAGAACTGTAGGAAGGCAGGCTCTATAAAATGTGTGGTTTTGTCCACTGGTGGTTTGCTACACTTGACTTGCTATGTTGGTTGCCATGCAGCAAAATTTTATCTCCAGCTATGACACTGTCCTGAAACTACAGTTTCTGTCTTGGTTTTTTGGTGTGGCTTTACCGTATTTGCCACAAAAATTGTAGAGTGGCAGGTGCTTGGGCTCTGAAGATGATATACATAATGAATTACCTGATTATCTTGCTGTAAATGCAGTTACATGATTTATCCCGAGAATATTATGTGTGATTTCCTATGATAAGTGCTTCATTTGCTGGTTGGTTGAATGGGGATTCTCTTTTGAAACTTGTTGTGTCCAGATGACCCCTACTCGTATTACAATTCTTGTGACTGACATCACATTTTAACATGTATAATGTCGCAGATGCTTAGCATCAACCAGGAGTGACGCCTGATCGGCATATGTGCTGGTATGCTTCTTTGGATTGAACATCACACATGCAGTTCCTTCTTTGGTCTTTTGGTTTTGCTATTTCTCTTAGAAGCAGAGGTTACTGTAGCCCTTCCCAACCATTTATTGCTTTGTGATGACCTCTTTTAGTTTTCATGCGATGATACAGGGGTTGCAAGCATGACTGCAATTTAGATTTCACAAGCAGCTAAGCTGTTTCTTTTGGCTCTCCGATGGGATGCGATAGCTAATTATGAGAGCATAGCTGAACCGATGAGGAGTTAATGAATGAGATGAATCTCGCTGTGTAAGCGGTGTAGGACTTGTTTGATCACTTCTGGCCTTTGTTTTGTTGTGTATGAACTTTGGGAGGTTTGGATGAACAACTAAGTGTGCTTTTGAGGTTCAAGATAATGTTGTGTGGGGCGTTGTGTTGTTCGACCTATTTGTGATACAAACATCGTATCGTTTTCTATGTTAAGAATTGTTTTTCTCAACTAGCTCCATTTTTGGCTGCTGAAGTTAGGGAATTTGGTTTATTCCTTAAGATGCAAATGAGTGTATATTGCCCGAGATGTTGAATAAATATTTTTAGATACTATTTGGGTCGCGGAATGTAGTTATTGCTTTCTAGAAAACTGGCTTGTCTCTCTATTAACTTTCGAGCTAAACATTTTTGACCTGGGGAATGCAAGAAGCTCTCACAGCCACTAGATTTGGAAAAATTCTTAAATGATCTCGGTGCATTTGGGTCCGATGTATGTGAACCCTCATGATATAAGAGGTGACACGTTGATTAACTGATTATCTTAATTATGATTTTACGCAGACGATTCATTGTTGGATGCCATGTTAATATGGTCTAGAGGTAGCCTAGCTTGCTTCTTCTTTCTACACCTTTAGCATATCATCTAGTGATCTTATGGAGGGCTGCCGAAAAATAAAAAAAACCGACCCGAAAATATCTGGCCTTTTCGGGTCGGGCTTCATTCTGTTTCGGGTAATAGTTAAAAAAGTTCGGATATTGTTACAGTTCATCTTTTCCTCCCGTTTCCACAACAGCATCATCTTGTCCTTCCTCCACCCTACTCGACGATTCTTCGACCCTCTGGGAGCACCCTCTCTTCGCTACGGCCACTGCCCACTCCTCCATTGAACCGGTTCGCTCGCTGTTTGACGTTCTCCATTCTTAATTCCGAATGTCAACGTTGTTACCATTGTTGGCAAAAACGGTGAATCTTGAAGGGTTTTCGTGGATTGAGATTGGGGCTTTGAAAGAGGAAGATGGGAATGAGATGGTGATGGCTGATTGCAAGAGGAGGCGATGGAATCCGTAGGATTGAAGGATGTAAGGAAGACGCACAAGTGAGCCCTAGCATTCTTCTTCTGCTGCTGCTTCTCCGGCCACGATAAGTCTATTTGGAAGAAAATCATTTTACTCTCAAATGGATGGTGCTACTGCTTGGCTCAGTTTGGCTTCAGGAGTTTCAAGCCTCGAAGCTTGCAAGGTGAGTTCTTTTGTCTGTTTTGGTAGAAAATATTGAATAAAGCAAAGCAGCAAAAAATAAGAAGGAGAAGATAGGGGGACCAGAAACCGAACCGAATCAAACCGAGTTTTCAGTTTGGATCTTGGGTTGGGCCGTAGTAAGCACACTTTGCTAATGTCTCGGTGGATACTCGATCTGAACTGAACCGTTGACACCCCCTTATGCGCCCTTCCTTTCCAAAGATCATTTATATTTCAAACTAACAAATCATGGACGATATGAACCAGAGGAACCAGAGGACTCCGAGCTCTTGTTTTACTTGTTAGGAGATTACATTTATTGAAAATAGAAGCTTGACAATGTTCAGGCATTCTTAAGAACGCGGATGGCGTTGTTTAACTATTCTGGAGGAATTCAGTTTAATAATATTTTAATGTTTTTAGAATTTTTTTTCTTTTCTTTTACACCTTTCACTGCGTGACCCCCACAGGCCACGGATTAAGGCTTTTGCGCCCCAACCTAGATCTAGGGGAGGGTGTCGCAGCTCTCACCGACCACATGTGAGGGCATTGGCCTCGTCATGGCCTTTGCCCTAGCCAGATCTAGACAAGGGTTGCGACGCCTCATTGGCCACAGGTGAGGGGCTCGATGCTCTCGCCTGTGGTTGGTGAGGGCACGAAGGACCTCGCTTGTGGCTGGCAAGAGGTGTAAAAAGAATAAACAATATAAAAGAAAATTCAAAAAATTCGAAAAATATTAAATATTATTAAAAAAATATTTACGTTAGTGCCGACTGTATCACGTAGGACAACTAGCGTCCACGTCATCAATTTCAAATCACAATTGGCTAGATCCATTCATTTGGCACAATCTAAAAAGAACTTATGACTCAACTGGTAAAATCGAAAGGTTTATGATCAGATCGGTAAAAAGTGTTATATATTGAGGACTTTCAGGTCAATTTTCCCTGGATAACATTGGCAAGTTGGAAAAATAATACAAGAATCTCGTCCCACTAACTTTTTGTCGTTTCCGAAAGGGAGCGAAAGATTTGTCAATTCAATCCAATTCTTACGGTGAATTTCACATGGACTCGAGCTTCAATAATGTAGACACAAGTTCCCACCGCACTGCCCAACCCAAAGAATTATAATGTTTGCCGAAGTCAAACTTTCTTTTCCCGTCATTTATTTAAGCAAAAGAGGAGAAACGAAGGAAAAGGAATCTTTGGACTTAAATCCAACAAACGGTATGCGTTAGTTAGAGATACGTGCAGACGATAGTCAAATCGTTGGGTCCTAATTTCTCAGCACACCCCTTTTAAATTCTTCTGAGCTGCAATCCAAAGCTTTGCTTCGTCTGATGGTGATGGACCGCGTGAGAGCGCCCCCTCATTGGTTTTCATAATTAAATTAATTAATGGCTTAATCCAAGATAAGCACGAGCTTAATCCAGGCCATTCAGTCTCGTCCAAAGTTCGTATTAGCCGATAATCGCGACTAAAAAGAAGAATATTAATTCTCCCGCGTGATTTACCAATTCGCCAGGAATCGATCCAAAGCGTGGCCAAAACGTTAAACATAAGAAAAAACGAGAGGAGGGGAGGTCAGGCGGCCATCGTTATTTTATAGTGAGAAATGGCCCATGTGGTTTCTCTCTTCTATATAAATTACATGTTTTCAGATCGACACACGTTTCTTGCGGAAAGCAGCTTGAAGGGTTCTCTCCAGTCAAATAACACACGCGAAGTACGGCAGAGGAATTCATGTTAATAATATAATCTAAATCTAGGACCGCGACCATGATTAGTCGGCTACCTAAAGGGGAACTAGCTCGGCAACACACCGCCGTAACACCCGCTTAAATCGGGATATCTCGGAATGAGGCATCGAGCCCATATCAATCGTTTCTCAGGCTGAAATTATAGAAAATCTTGGCGGGGTTCGACCCCCATACAGATGAGAGAATCCTGGAAGTGTTTTGCTCTCTTCTAATTTTGTGGATTAATCGCGGTATTCTGAGCAATTTTCTTCATATGATTTTTTCATGGCACGAAGGGAAGAGGACAAGTATACGAACCAACACAAACCGAGGTTGACTTCCGTAAACCAGGGGAAAAAAAATCGACAAAATACAAAAGCAGCACTTCACGTCTCCAACCACACCCACCAATTGTGTCGAATTGGCCACTTCATACCTACCTTATCGTCACTGTCTCTCACTGATAATCACTAGCAACAATCACATCAACGCTTCCATAGATGGAAGGGACGAGGGAGCAATGCAAGAACACACGGTGGACAAAAAACGCTCGATGAATTTTACTGCACTCGCTATGTAACGGTGGCCTCGATCCTCTATAATACGAAATGATCTAAAACCAAAGGAACCAGAAGAAGAAGAAGGTGGTAACCAGAAGGAGAAGTGCCCATGTTCTCAAAGAACATAATTCATGCGCGTGTGGGTCAGGAAATTAGCTAGCAGAGAGTTAGGAGCGAGAGGGGGTCGACTAACTGGACGGATTGGGCGGATGGGTCGGATCGAATCAGCGGCTCTGGTGATATCCGCTCAGCCTGCAGATGCCGGAGACGGCCGCGGCGGCATTGCCCGCGGCGGCGCTCCTCTGCAGCAGCCTCTTCAGGGCGCTCATCAGCGACTCTGCTCCCCCCACGCGCCCGCCGCCGCCGCCGCTCGTCGCGATCGGATTCGTCTCGACCGCCGCCGCCACTCGTTGCCGCTTCGTCGGTCTCGACAAGGCTGACGAAGAGGTCGCTTCCTCCTCGTTATCCAATGCTCTCGAGTTCAATCCGGACGAAGCACAGCCGACTTCATCCTGCGATCCGGACGAAAATTCCCAAAAGAACTTAGCCACAGTTTCATGCTTCCGTAACTTTTGAACCGAAAAACACAGATGAAACAGAGATTCTGCAGATGATAAAGCTAAAGGGGCGTCACGTATTTGGATTCTATGAGTAGGAAACTGCACTAAAAGAAGACCGGAGTAGAAAGGCCGTGAACAGTTTCGAGCCATATAAACGTTAAAGCTTGAGAGCAGGACATCCGATCGATCTACTTCCGACGAGCGTTTCGACTATATGTGAAGCTTCCGGTGGTGCTTCAAGTGCAACTGAAACAGAGGACAATGATGCAGGAAACAGAGATTAGGCAAAAAGTATGAAGAGAGACATACGTCGGAGTCGAGATCTTCGCTTTGGCGCGACCGCTTCATCCTCAACCCACCGCGGGCCACTGTTTCGGCGAAGAGCCCGTCGCCGGCGACCGCAACAGACCTGCTGGTGGATTCATCTTCGGTGCTCGAAGAAGTCGCCGGAGGCGGCGAATCGCGCGACAGCGGAACCACCTGGTTCTCTCCGTCCTCCTCTTCCTCTTCCTCCTCCTCCTCCTCTTCATCGTCGACCTCTTCCTCCTCCTCCTCCTCCTCCTCCTCCTCCTCCTCATCTCCGCCTTCGTCACCATAGCCATCGTCGTCATTGAGCACCTCATCCGCGTCGTTACCGTCGCAATCCCCCGCCTCCTCATCGCCGCCGGCGCATCCCCGAGCTCCGGGCGCCGCCTTCTCGTCGCAGATCCGCCGGCAGCGCTCGCACACCGAGACCGTGGGGCCGAGCCTCGGACCGGAGGCCTTCCACGGGGTCGGGGACTGGCACACGTGGCAGAGGAGGGCCCTGGCGTGCTTCGCCACCAGGAAGTTCGCGCCGTGGACCTTCTCGTCGCAGCCCCAGCACAGGCTCGCCTGGTCCGACTCGCAGTGCATTGCCGCTCGCCGATCGCACAGCTCGCACCGCTTCCTCATCCTCGCCCCCCTCCCCCGCCTCGAAACGCTGCGTCGCAAAGCTTCCACGCGCGCTCCTTCTTCTGCTCCTGCTGCTTCTGCTTCGGCTTCGGCTTCTCTCTCTGCGCGCGCTCCGACGACGATGATGATTTGCAGGAAGCGACGAGGTTGAAGACGAAGAGGAAAGTAGTTTCGAGCAACTTGTTGCGAAATCCTCAACGGATTATACGGGGAAATATCCAAACCTAAAATCCGGGGATTCTTCCACCGCTTCCCAGGGGCAGTCCCGTCATTTCCGGGGGCGCGGTGATAGACGGGAAATAAGAAAAAAAAAAAAAAATCTTTTACCCAAACAACTGACCGCGGAGAGAGGGGGGGAAGCTTCGATTGTGTGGACCGGGGGCTCACCAAGCCTCTCCTGTTACCGCCGTTAATTTTCCGCCACGCGGGACGCGACCATTGACTCGGTTGACGGAAGTGGGGAACTGAAGGGTACGCGCCTACGCGGAATCTTTCACGCGCTCTCGCTCGAGACAGCCTACCAGCCCCGAGCGTCTGGGGGCCCCTGCCACGTCGGCTTCTAGAGCGGCACGTGTCCTCCGAAGGTGCAGGGGAAATATCGCTCCTTTGCTTCCGGATAGAAAGGGGGGAAGCGGACGAGCGCAGAAACGGAATTTACCGGATAACAGAGATCTCCGATTTGAGAGGAAACCGTAAACGGCTTGGCCGCTTGAATTTGAATATAAAGAGCGACGCTAATTTCGCGACAAATTTAAGATTTTAGAAACATCCCTTTGCCAAAAAATAATCATTCGCAATTGTAATTTAAATATTCTCCGTCGACTAATATTTCTGAATGATGAAATCAATAGCTTGTCGAAAAATATTAAACATATCCTGAATATTATTTATGGAACTTAATCGAATAATTCATCCCATTGATTAAGAGGAATAAAATCGACTCGCATTGCAGAAAGAAAAAAAAAGGCATTAAAAATAAATAATTGACTCGGAGGAGGTGGGGGCGGCTACAAATCGTGGAGGACAGCTAAATTCGGGGGCATAATTGCAAAGATCTTTTCCTCCCGAGAGGTGGAGATATATATATATTTTTTAAATTTCTGAGGACGAGAAGAGAGTGGGGTCAGAGGCGGAAGATTCGGGGAGATCCGACGTGGAAGATTTGAGGCCACAACGGTCCGACGGAGCCACGTGAAGCCCACCTGGGCTGGGTCGGGGCGCGCCCCCTGACGTGTCTTCCGAGGCCCATATCTCGCCCCGTTCATCCTCGCCCACGCCGCCCCCCCCCCCCCCCGCGGCCACGCCTTTCGCCGTCCAACTATTTTTTACGCCCGGTCCTTTCTTAATATTTTTTATTTTCATATATTTTATTTTAGCTTTATTATCTGGAAGGATAAAAAAAAAAGGATAGGGAATTTGTGTCCGTGGACCCTGTGCCCAATAATCATCTCGCGATGGGCCACGAAAGGTGTGGGGGGTGTTGCTCGTGGATCGATTCGTGTCGTGCGTCGCAGTGTGTGCCGGGCATCGTGGTATATGGGATTCATCTATGTACATATACTGAATTTATAAAATTAGGTAATAAACTCGTTTCTTAACTCATATAGGATATAATGAATCGTTATGTAGACTAGTTATATTTAGTAAATAGATTATAAACGAGTTTAAATATAATATAATTGTTAAATGGATTTACAATTTACTTAGATCTAGCCCGTTATTGTAATTGTCATTTCATTCTCTCTAGCCCTCGCTAAATTTCACGCTTACTTAATGCGCACTCTTATTTTAGTTTATATACGAGTTTTCTTAAATATGAAAATATTTTAGTAATATAAATCGAGTTTTATACAATAGATCAAAACCGATTAAACCGATTTATTTAGATCGGGTCATTTTCGACCCGAGTCAAACCCGGCTCGTTTGACGGGGTCCGACGTGGACCGATCAAATCCGCACTTGGATAGAAGGGATAAAGGGTATTATAGTAATTAAGAGCAAGGAAGACGATAAAAAAAAAAAAGAAGCCATATCGTGCGGCTGAGATGCGAGTACTGCTTTCCTTTTTTTAACATCATCCTCTGGGGGAAGCGGGATGATTGATTGATATGCCGTGGTGGAATGATGATCCGATGACGTGGCCGCGCACCACGTGAAGGGAGTCCTACCTGGCACAACGCGGGTTCGGATTCCGAGGAGGGGGAAATCCGTAAGAAAGAAAGAGAGGGAAGGGGAGGGGGACGGGCGAACGGTGGCCACAAGGTCAGAATATGTGTCGATGTGGGACTGCGAGATAGAGATAGAGAGAGAATTCGTAAATTTTGTGGAGGAGGTGTAGAGAGAGAGAGAGAGAGAGAAGGGGGTGGGTTCCCTGCATGGAGACTTGAATCCGAAGTGCGAGGAAGGAGGGGAGGGAGGGACCGGGGGGGGAGTCGACGCCTTTGACGCATTTGACGCGATCGCGACATGGGCAGTGAAGGCCCGCCACTTGCTGCTTGTGCTTTGATCAGAGGTTCGATTGATGCGAGAGAGAATTGATTGGGTCGTGGTCATGGGACGGACTGTTCGGGAAATGGACATCTCCTCTCGAAGGCGATGGACGGATGGCGTTGGGGTGGGGTGGGGTGGGGGGGACGACGACGATGAAAGAGGATGCGGACGAAGGAAGGGACCCGAAGAGACGTGTGCTCGGATCCTTGTTTTGGGGGAGGGGGGGGGGGGGGGGGGGAGTGCGAATTTGAATTTCTGCCCGACGATTTTATTCCAATGCTCGAATGAAAAAGAAGTAAATGTTTTTTGTGTTATGCATGGAGCGACCGAAACTCCCAGAATTTACGATCTCCAAAATAATTCGTGTGACTGGTCGCGGGGTTTCGCTGCATGGCGAGGCAAAGACATTTTCCCGGGTCTATGTTGAAAGCTTTTATGGTAGAACCCATTCGAGAGGGCTCGGTGGTCTTGAGAATGGTTTGGATGGGGGGGGGGGGGGTTGTTCCGTTAAGAAGACAAATAAAATCTAATTCATTTTTATGCTAACAAAAAGAGCGGATCCAATACCGAGATGACTTCTTTCTCGAGAAGTGCATCAAGTACATTAGGAATTTTGGGATATCTTCGCCCACATGAGTGAGTTGACAAGTGCCCCGCAATCTACCACAAGGTCGAGTCGTTGCCGGGAGCCCAACCCCTAACTACTTAGATTGGGGCAGATGGCCTCCACCTAGTATCTCTTTAGTGTTGTGGATTGGTTGAGAGCTCTCAGAAAAGAAATTCATCGAGTCATTGAGTGATCTTATGCTTATTCAAAATTTGGATCGAAACAATGAGAAACGAACAACAACTCAAAAGACGAATGCCTATGCCTATTAGAGGACCGGCCTTTATCCTGAAAAAAGCAAAAGAGTATGGCGATGCAGTCTAGACTAGGAGGCAAGTCGAAGTGATGTTCCTATTGATGAGGAGGAGCACCACACACCGGCGGGACAAGAATAGGAGGATTTGCAAAGTATATCTTGATTTGTTCGAACGCTTGTTGACCCATTCAATAGCCATTGTCCCGTGGAGTTCTTTCTCGGCAATTTCAAAATGGCAGGAGCTTGAAGCTTTGGATTTTGAATTCGCTCGAAATCTTCCCCTTCCAATTAACAATCTCTTCCCTCCCCTTAGGCTTGTTGGCCTAGCTGTTGAGTAAATTTCTAATGCTAGTGAATCAGATGTTTGAAGGCAAACTGCCACATCAGTAAGAGAAGGAGATGAACTAAATTAATGTCCAAGAGTAAGCGATCACGGGATATGGTTTTGTTGGTTTCGCCTCTGGTTATCAATCATCGAAAGGTATTTTTCAAGCATCAACATTAAATCGAGATGGCCCTTTCTAGTATCTCAAACTCTGGTTGAAAAAACTCTTTTTATGAAGTGATCTAAATAATCAAGCCAAGGGGCATTAGCAACAACCATTGCTATCTCCCTAGGATCAAGCATTGAATTCAAAACCCTAGATAAAATTGAAATGAAAACTTGATATCGACGCCTTCTCTCAGAATTGAACATAGGAACTTTGCTATGTGGAGATGGCACGAGAGATGAAGTGTCTTTAATGGATAGGGGTCCATACGGGATTTTTCACCAGTCAAAAGATCAAAATGAGAAATATCATGTGGTAGGTGGGTCTATTGGCTGGTTTGGAAGATTCTCTTTGAGAGTCTTGACCCATATGCAAAATTTTCTAGAAAAAAAGTTTTGATTGGATTGATTTGAGTTTTTGTCTACACAAGCAAATCTTTCCTCAGATAGATACGAAGTTCTTGGCCTCAGAAAGAGTCAGATTGAAAAGATTCCACTACTTGTCCAAAAGCAAGTGGAGGAGCCGGCAAATTCCAAGTTGACGTTTCACGTTTCAGATGAATAACACGGAAACTCGGATCTGAATATGCCATTATCATGTATTGTAAGTCAATTTTTTTTACATAGTCACTTACTTTTCATCTCATCGTATATGAGTGTGACCTTCGAAGAGATAAATGCTCGAGGTCTTCCTCATCCATGTGATCATTTTTCTTCTTCATTTGCTTTAGAAGCTCAACCCATACGCAGTCCTTGCAGAAGACCCCCTCCTTATCCACAACACATTTGTGGTCCGGCCGCGCCCCACTTTCAATTGTCTTTTCACCTTGTAAGACAATCATACCAACCTCCATTGGAACTTCCCTACTTCGTCTTCTTCCTTCTACCCCCTAGACACTATTCTACCTAGTTGCTCACGGGTATGGATCGAGAGCTTCTAATGTCGTTAGCATCCCCATAACGTCCTTCTCTTTGTCAATCTTTTGCTTACCTGGTTCGTCTCGTCTCTCTTTGTTGAACATCCCGTGGGTTGAGACTTTTATCCATTTTTATGTAACTCTTCCCCTCTAAAGAGGAAGAAAGTGGAATGTCATGCAGTTGTAGAACCTGGTTAAACAATCGTATGCATGAGCATTAATGAGGTTCTTTTTTATGATTTAAAAAAAAGAAAAAAAAAGGCACTCATATGCATATTGTTGGACGAAAACCTCACTCCTTTAGGAATCGAGCTTCTCACTTTTGACAACAACATTCAATGCCTTGGAAGATTCACATCTTAGGGTCAGGCACTGATGAGCACATTGAACTAGCCATGTGGCTAAGAGCCCTCACAACTCAAGCACAACGACACAATTATCACCCGTGTGTAAATACATCGCACTCTCTATGTAGGGCCCAATGTCACCTGTGTGCGCACGCGCACGCGCACATGAAGGAACAGAGGCACAATTTGAGCAATGGTGACTACTGCCGATGGATTGCAAATCCTAAATGGATAATACCTCGCAGTGTGCCTGGCTGGATTTAAATCCCGATTGAATCATATCTTGCGGCGTTCCTGATTTCATGGATCACTTGAGTATGACAACCTTCCATTTGAGGTCACCCATATCGAATCGAAGGTCATCATCAGCTTGCCCATTCATCACTGCTATAAGATTTTCATTTGTTTGCGATTATGTAGCTTAGTCATGACACGATGTAGCTTAGTCATTTTTCCAGATTAAACTCTATTAGACTGTCACATATATCCCTTTTCTTTTCTTTTCCTTTCCTTCCTTCCGTTCTTTTTTTTTTTTTTGGCTAAGTACGTCCTTCGCCATATCTGCGCCTTAAACATATTTAGTAAACCGATCAAATCACAATTTTTCCGAAAACCATGGTGCTTATAGTGCATTGAAATGGTCATCAGTCATGCAGATCACGATTAAACTCTGTTCGATCAAATGACTTCTTCGACATGGTGTGGCCGTCACCATAGTGATGGTGGTATGAGGCTTGAACATTCGAATTTCTCTTGGACTTGGAGGCCCACAATCATATCATCCTGTCTTCCATTAATTCCTCGGTCTTCTCCTTATTCCATTTTTTGCCCATATAAATGCATAGATGTCCTCTGCGAGCACTAGTGATTTTTCAGCTCTAATGACCTGTCTCGCTTTTTTTTTGTTCAAACACCTGTCCCGCTTCGCACGGGCCAAACTGGTGAAATGGCACTCAGAACGACGTTAGTGTTGGCCCCTGTCGCTCGGCGATGACACTCTCCTTCTGCTATATGTGACATGCAATTCGATTCCTACCCACCCATTCACCTTCCATAAAATGCCAATAAAGCTGCAAATTATCTGATACCTCTCGGTTGGGTAATCACTCCCGATCCTTGTCGGACAAGCTTGGACTTTCCGACATTGAGAGACGGGGCATTTTTCTTATAAATAACATCCTAAGCCCTCTTCAATGATCTCATCTGAGGGGAAACTTGAGGGTTTTATGCATATAAAGACTACTTTTAAAATAAATTACACATTTTTTTAATCAAATGGCGCCAAATAATGTTTTGCTTTCCCAAAAATATGGGTACCCGTTACAACTCGTTTTTTCTTTATTATCATTCGACTTGTGAAATTTCGGTGCATCATACTAAGTACGTGACTTGTAGGACGGTGTCCTAGTTTAGTAGGTGAAGGGTTAGATGATAAATGCAGCAACCCATTTTCGTGTCATTTTTTCTAATGAAAGCACGGAAAAGACACCCAAAGAAATTATTTCGGCAGTCTTATTTTCGCATGGTGTTAGGCAATAGCACGATTAGTCCTAGGAGATTATTTTACTTTATAGAAAATAATAAGGCATTATTTTATTGCAGACAGTAGCAACATTGAACACTTAGATGTACTTTTAATGATCTAAGATAAAACTAGTATTTAATGGCATCTTTTTATACTCGCCGTAAGTAATATAATTGCATCTTGGTTGGCTCTCGAGTTGCCAAAACGAAATTGAGGATGTATACGAGTGTCATACTTGAAAAAATATCGTACAGACTTAGTTTATGGATGATGTGGTGAAGAAACTGAGTGGAAACTTGTGCCTTTAGTTTTAGGCTTCTAGGGATAGCTAGCGTGGGCTCCCCAAATGTTTTAAATGTGATCGGTTTGGTTAGGCTTAGTCGTGGTATGCTGAGTAGTCTATGCGATGCTCATCGTACTAGAAATTGACTTAATAAATCGTAGGGAAGCAACTAAGTTGAACCGCGAGAAGAATAATTGGGAGTGAGAAAACAAAACAAGCAGGTTTTTCTCTGTTAAATTAAGCAAATGTCACTCAAAATTATGAGTCCTATAGCAACCTTACAACTTGTTATGTCCGTACCACATAGGTGAGAATCCAATGCCTCAAAAACCTATAAATTTCTTTCATACAACTTAGAAGAATAGACTCGAAAATATGGAAGATGCCAGGTTGTCTACAGTATGCGAGCGGATATATGTTAAATGAAGCATAGTCCCCCTTCGGATAATTGATGTGTAATGAGAAATTAAAATATTTAATTCTTTCATAACTCAATGATTTAATTTCGAGTAAATACATATTAAATTATACATTATAGGGTTAATACCACAAAAAATCCCAAACTGGTACACCTATGATAAATTTACCCCAAACTAATGTTTTGACCATAAAAAACCCCAAACTGGTACGCTTGGGACAAATTTATCCTCCGTTAAATTGGATTAATACCACGAAAAATCATAAACTGGTAAACCTATGACAAACGGAGAGGTAAAATCCCAAATTGGTGCACCCGTTAGCTGCAAGCTTGCCACGTGTCATCAAACTCAACAATTTGACGGCAAAATTTAACGAAAATTGACGAAGTGTAAATTTATTACAGGTGTACAAGTTTGAAGTTTTTGGTAGTTAAAAAATTAGTTTGGGATAAATTTATCACAAGTGTACCAGTTTGGGGTTTTCATGGTATTAACCCTACATCCTAATGAAGCATAGTCCCCCCTTAGGCAATTTTTCGAGAATAAGATATTGGGTTTCTATTGTTCGTCGCAACAATCCTTGTTTCTTTTACTTATTTCGATTGAAAATGAGCATCCATTTTTTGGTAAAGTAGGGGCACAAGTGTGGGAGCTTGATTAGCTACCTGAAGGTCCATGAATCATTCAAGACAACTCATGAACCGATTAAATTCAAGCCTTTGATTTGTGTATTTGGCATTGATCCAGAACAATTTGGATACAGTTGGTGGAACTCAAGCATCATCTCCAAATTCCAAGCTAAAAATCTCCATCTGGATAATTGAAAGACTTCCAAGTCTGAACTTATTCAACCAACAAAATTATGAGCATGTTTTCTTACATATCAAGACGATTATTGCTTTGAGTATGTTAAGAATTACAACAATTAATATCTAAATTTTCTTCACAATCGGATACAATTAGTAATGGTGGCATGCGATTAAATGTAAAGAATGACAACATAACTAGATCCCTACTCGTCGACTAACACCCGGTTAGCCTTGATCACCTTCATCTATAAAGAGTGACTCAGCCACTTAGTTAAGTTTCTTCTTCCCATCGTGCACTCCACAATATATACTCCCCTCCCAAATCTCTAACTTAAACATCAGAGGGCCAATCCGGATCAAAAACTCGGACACCCTAACTCGTATTTGACGGTGTAGGTCCATCTCAAGGTGGGGTCTTCGATAAATTTTTCGAGATGGGATCGTGCATCAACAAGTGACAAATTTTACAAGGCTAGTTTAATGAAATTTTTTTAGACAAAATTGATCAATGGAAACCATCGAATTTTTTTTATTGAATAAGAAGATCGCAGTGTATCAACATTTATGAACTTTAAGGTTAAAGTTTGAGCTTAAGGACTAATCTTGGGAAGATTAAGTTCTCATATTTTATTTTTTCATGTAAAAGTAGTTGCGTGATCTTGAAAAAGAAGAAAAAGAAATCATACGATTCTCGACCGCATGACCCAACGCACAACAAAAGAAGTCACTAATACCCTTAGAGTGGGGTAGATCGCTCCAACGATGAGTAAAATATATAAGATTACAAAAATATCATAGTGGTTAATATTAAATGAGAGTCAAATACCAAATGCTAAAAAGTTTAGAAAAAAAATTTAAAGCTCACTTTTGGATATGTGTTTTAAATTGATTTCTATCTAGATAGTCATTATATTTCTTTCTCTTACCCAAAGAAACGGCCGTCGAAGAAGCAGCATGCCCCATGATTCAAGTTCTATCATCGATCGAAAACCAAAACATACACCTGCAAATCCATGCACGAGATTTTTCCATGCCAAAATCTAAGTCCGAAAATTGAGGATCGGGTCTTATTCCTCTTTGCTCGTTCAAGATCACAACGGGAATTACCAATTTTATTGGCAACAAGTTTGGCAAAAAAACTAATAAGGAGAGAGGATTACATTGTTACCTCTATTGGATCCGATTGTTTCACGAAAAAAAAAATGATTTGGAAATTTTTTTCCTAAAAATGATATCACTTGTATCGCTCGACATAATAAGCTAATGAAAAATATTTTCATTATAGATAATAATTTAAGTTTAAATATTTTCGTGTACGATGAAAATATTATTCAATTATTTATTTTGGTAAGTGATACAAGTGATTATTTTTAAAAAAATATTTTCCAAAAAATTTATTTTTTGCGAAACAAACGGTGCCTTATTATTATAAATTATTACTCAAATCATGACATGATCTACCTCAGCTTGCACCCACTGCTTGGACCCGTCCATCAGCCCAGGGCTCAATCTGAACATGAGGATGCAAAACTCCAGCTGGTTCAGATTGCCATCCCCGTCCAAATCGCCTTCTCGCAGCATGCACACGAACTCGTCGTCGCCCATGTCCTGTAACCCTAGCAGGAAGCTGTTCCTCTTCAGGCTCTCGAACGTGATCAGCCCCTTCTCGCAGTCCATCAGGAGCTGGAACCCATTGCAGAGTTCCCCGATGAAGCCCTCGGCCCCGAGCCTGACGATCATCGAGGGGAAGTAGTCCTCGAAGTCGACCGCGCTCATCGTGCTCTCATAAGCTGCCATTGAATGAATATAAATATGGTCAAGAATTTGGAGGTTAATGAGAAACTCTGGTGTTTGAACTTATTCAAACAGACAAGGGAAAAAGGGTCGTGTTGTGTTCTCGGGTGGAGTGGTGGGTGTGATCTCAGCTGGGGAGTGACAGTGTTGAGAGCAAGCAAGGGTTTTTAAAATGATTTTTGCGAGAGAGAAAGAGATGGATGGAATGTTCGTGGAAGGAGGGAGGGGCATTTAAAACCAAGGAATAGCAGGTACGCACAGAGGGACTGTGAACGGATTTGATGAATCTAGATTGAAAGAGGGAGCTTCGACCATCTTTCATTTTCTGGTTTGCTTACTTTATTTGTTTATTTCCTATCTCCTGACCCGTGGAGACGCCTTCTCTTTCCTGGAAGTTGCATGGGCGGGTTAAGTCAGACTTACTCTTTGATGAAGCACACGTCAGCTCTTGTGTTAACAAGTGTACAGGAGAGGCGTAAACGCATCTGCACACAGTGAGAGAGAGATCAATCACCGTGGCGAAGGTGAATTCCGTGTTCCCCGTCGACGAAACCGGCGATTCGTACTGGCTGCTGCCGCTCATTCGGGGCTTTATATTTGGGTCTTAAGCTATCTAATAAGATTGGTTTATGGAAATGGCAATTAATTATAAGGATCGTGTGTAATCTGATGATTCATCACTACTTACATTGGTTTCTAAAAGAGGAGAGCATCTAAGGATAGTAGTGCAATTTCTCTGGCTGTAAAACTTAATATCCGCAAGTAAACATAATCAAGAAGCATACAAACATTTAAGGGGAAGTAGTGTACAGCCATCTCGAGTTGTTGGAGTGTCACGTGTGCGTCATGTCATTTGAAACATGATTTGCACCGCACACATTTTGAAAATGTATAGTGAGAAAACCATTTATATATATGGATGGATGATTAATTTCTCTATTCGCCAGAGTTTCGCTTTACCCAAATGAAGTGAGTATGAATCTTATGCAGATACTGTGACAACTTAATAGCTAAAACATATGAATGTGAATTATTTGATACAATATCAGAACTGGGTATAAGCCCTGTAGAAATTTTACATGGGAATGAAGTAAATACAGTTTTAAATTTTTGAGTTGCAATGTTAATTAGGCAAGGATCATTAGACCCAGTCCAATAATGAAATTTTCTTTTGCAATTAAATCTTAACCGTTTTAAATTTTGAAAGAACATGAACCAATCAGGAAAATCCAGACATGAGTATATATAATCGTTTTTTTTTTTCAAATAAACCGTAGTTTCAACTTTCAACTACTGTAGGAGAATCTCTCTTAAAAATGATCTCAAAAGTAAGAAAAATCATGCTGAGTTAGCCTAAGTGAGCTGAGATTCTCTGGAATCCTTGACTTAATCACGATAATTATTTTCAACTTCTTTTAAATATGATAACATGTCATGATCTTAAGGGAAATCCCATTTATCTCTCTCTAAATTCGACAAATCTCAACCCTAAACTCTATGTTGCCAACGTAACATGGTCCTATCAAACCTCTAGCATTTTATCGAAGCCATCCTGTCAACATATTCATGTCGTTCATCAAGAACATACCACCAAATCAAACCGGTCCATGCATGTCGTTGTAGGTTTGGCTAGTTGAGGCCATGTCCGACATTGTATTCACTAAATGCTAGGGTTTCACCTTCGTTTTGGTGGTCCCATATCATTCGTACAAGCCGTATCCTTCACTGTCCTTCGCACTAGTTTGTCGTATCAGTACAAGCAAAATAGCTAGTTGATGATGGATCGAAGACCTTGGCTTTTCGCTTTCCTAGTCTCTTCTCTACCCATGAGCTATGTATTCATCGACTTATATTTACCAAGAACTCCTCCTAAGCATGAGTTAAGACTGTTTCGTCTGAGGTTTTGTGCAGACCTCGGCATCCTTGGGATGTGAAGCAACAAGGGAGTACTCCCTCCTCCTGGAGAAGATAAATATATAGGGAGGATTGGAGGGAGCAGAATGTGTGGGTACCGGTATGTTAAAATAATGAACGCAGTTAGGTAACCTGTCATATTAGTAGACAGGCGCAAACATCCCTTGTTGGTTGGAAACAACCCCTTGGTGAGGTTACCATTGTAGCCACCAACTAAGGATCCAAGTCATGCCATGAGCTATTTAATCATCGACTTATATTTACCATGAAGTGCTAATAGATATATTCGCTTGTCGATATCGGTAGGTTATGTAGGTTATCATGCCATATGACTGGCTTGTGCTACACGTTGATAAGTCACTATCCAATCATGACATGCAATTAAACCTCTTGTCGCTTTCACTTACACGCATCCATAAGATTCCATGAGCGTAACGGTCGGTCTCATGTGGATCCCACAAGATCTGACGGTTCAGATTAAATTCAATATGTGTGCTAGCTTCATCGAACAATTTTTTGGCATGCATAATCTAAGTTCAAAGCAAATAGAAAAGGAAAACAGATGAACAATGGCTGGCAACGCCACGGCGGCGCATGACGATAAAAGAGTATTTTGTACATACTCGTATTATTATTATTGATGTCGTGGCTTTGGATATAATTAACAATGGTGGAAAAATAGGGTACAAAGAAACTTGTGTTTATTATAAGATCGCAAGTTTGCTTTTTCACATATATATTGATATTTTGAGGAATTACAATATAAGTGGATGGACGAGAAAGCTTGTGGTAGATCTTTCTCCTCTCTTTTGGGTTTTGTGCTTCGATTTTCATTTGAATAAGAGGGCGCGTGATACTGAGAGCAGCGTGACGAACAATTTGTCGTGGATCTTTTGAAGGAGAAGTTCACTCACAGAGGAAGTTTCTCTGCAGTTTCCTTCAGCTAAAGTACATGCATATCAGCTTCTCGCATGCCTTTTTCGCAGTTGCTTCAAGAAAGCTTACATGCTCCTGTGACAGATTCGTGGACATCCCTTTTATTTTATTCGACCTACCTTCGCAGAGCTTTCGCTACCCTTTTAGATTTGCATGAGAGAGAGAGAGAGAGAGAGAGAGAGAGAGAGAGAGAGAGAGAGAGAGAGAGAGAGAGAGAGATCAACGCTCATTGCTGTGCTATGTAAGTTGTTGGCTAGTCCATAGTTTTGATTCTGTATGCCTATCATTAGTGACAAAAATTATTTTTAAACACTGATCTGTTCACAGAAGTGAACTTGAAATCAAGGCATATGTCACTTGCATATCAGATAACCACCTATATCAATATGTATCTTGATTTGAACTGTCTGTGCGTGCTTCTAAGAAAAGAGAAATAAATTTTTTAATGATTTTATTTTCATTTCCTGTAGAATTATAATATATGCTTTTCGCAATGATCTTAGAGAAAATAAAGATTTTATTTCCACCAATGATTTCAAATCATATATGATCTATCGATACTAGCTAGAATAATCCATACACAAGCGTATATGCTTTGGCCATCTGTCACATGCAACTATCGTTAGTCATCATTAACAATTCAAAGTTTAATCTGCAAATAGCAAAAGGAGATGTATGTTGCTTCTGATTTTAACAAAAAAACGATGAGTAGTCGAAAAAGATTGAGATCCTTTCTGTTCAATTAGGAAGGGTGAACTTATTCCATTTAGTAAAAAGTCTCATTGAAATCACAGCATATCACCTCAAATGCAACTCAACCATCCATGTATTTATTAAAATCACAAGTCATGATTTGAGGCCCAATTGACTCATATATATACTTGAGAGAATACTGATACATTCAGATAAGTCTCATAGTTTCTCATAAGAGCATGATTTCCATATCAAGCACAAAAATGGGGAAAGTTGTCCAAAAAGTTCTAAACCTATCGTACTTTTGCCAATTCAATTTTAAACATTTTAATTATTCTAATTGAGTTCTAAATCTTTTCACTTTAGTCAATTGAGTTCATTCGATCAATTTAGGCCGAAAAATGCTAATGTGAACGTTGGCCGTCTTACGTGGCACGACTGATACGTGGACAATTTTTAATAATATTTTAATATTTTTTTTTCGAATTTTGATAAAATTTTTCCCTTTTTTCTTTTCTTCTCTTTTCCTTTTTTACTTTTTCTCTTTTTTCCTTCTCTCTTCTTTTCTTTTTTTTTTCTTTTCTTTTTTCCCTCTACCGGGCCTTGTTGATGGCCGGTGGAGGTTGCCAGCCTCAAGTGAGGGCCGCTCGCGCTTGGGCTGGTGAGTGCAAACTCTTGCTTGATCTGGCGAGGGCCGCCCTCGCTTGGGCTAGGCTGGCGAGGGTGACCCTCATCTAGGCAAGGGTTGCCTCGTGTGAGGTCAGCGGAGGGTAAAAAGAAAAAAGAAAAGAAGAGAAAAGGAAAAAAAAAGAAAAAAAGTAAAGAAGGAAAAGAGAAGAAAAGAAAAAAAAGGAAAAAAATTAAAAATTAAAAAATAATAAAATAATATTAAAAATTGTCTACTTCAGCGACGGTTATGCCATGTAAGACGGCTAATATCCACATCAGCGACGGTTATGCCACGTCAGCGATTTCTAACTAAAATTGATCGAATGAACTCAATTAGTAAAATATGAAAATATTTAGATTTCAATTGGCATAATTAAATGTTTAAAACTGAATTGACAAAAATCCAATAGGTTTAGGACTTTTTGGACAATTTTTTCCATATAAATGAGAAAGAGCTACTTAAAAGTTAGAAGCCAAGGAAAGTCAAATAAATCTAACTTCAGATCTTATCTAAATATATCACGTGATATCATATTTGATTGCACCCCTTATTTTTTTTTATCATCTATATAGTACTAATAATAAAATCATATGACGATCAAAGATTAAATTATAAAATTATTTTCCCAATGATTGTCGCTAATATAATATCGACAAACCATTCAAATTACAGGTGTTCATTGAACGGGTTCGAGCTGAGCGGGCCTGGATCGGTCTTAACTCTTAAGTTTTTACTTAAACCTGTTGATCATAAATTTTTTTTTATGCAAATCTTCGGGCTGGATCGGATAGGGATTTTGACTTGGGCTCAATAGGGCTGAGCTAGGCTTTTTCATCAAATGCTCTACCTCAAACTTGCACAAAAAAAGTCATTGGGACCATATGGCTAGGTCCAGGTTGTCAAATCCGTGATTTGAAGTTACCATTTTTCCAAAATGTCGTTGGCCTACGAAAGGAATATATCCGAATTGTAATAATCAACGCACGAAACAAAACAAAGTAATTTCCACCCCAAAAGGAAAAAAAAAAAAACGAAACAAAGTAACACGAAGAGGGTATCAATTGATGCCACGAAGGCATTACGTGCGCATTGATACGCAATTCGTATAGCCCATTTATTGTATAATCCATGGTTCAAGTCCGTGATTATTGATATGGATAGTCAATTTTCTTTTTGGTATTATAATGGCCTATATCAATATTTTAAATTATAACTATAAGACGATGGGTTCATCTTAAATGAATATCAAAATTTTCTCGTTCACACATATCGAACATAAAAAAGTTTACCGTCTTAAAAGCGATTTTCCATTCTATTTTGTTCAAATCTTAGAACTTTAAAATACTCATCAACGGACAACTGACATGGCGCGTGAGAAGCCGGATATATAATCACCAATCTAATTCTTCAGATTTGTCCTTTTACCACGTCACAATGACGGCTGCTGTCGTTCAATTCTCTTTGCAATACCGTCCAACCCATTTGAAGGTTTAAAACGACGTGCGAAGAAAGTGCGCCAAAACGCCGCTCGAGTGTTGACTTCCTATGCCGTTTCTTGAAGGCAAAACGGGCTTGGTTGACCCTGGAATCATCCTTGAGAAGGAATGATGGGTTCGACGGAGACAAACGTGTTAGGTTCGTGTCAAAGTGTCTGAGTTTCATCTGACGTTGAATGATTCGGCTGGAATAGTACGAGGTATGAACATGGCCGAAGTGAAAAGTGGTGCGTATGAGTTGTGTTCACATTGTTGGTAAGTTTAGAGTGATTTGCTTATAAAGATGGGGTTAGAACTTAGAAGAGTACAGTTGCAAACAATGGCAAAGATCACATTCTCCATTTTCATCATCGTCCCTACGATCGGTTTGTCACTTGCAACCGATACTTTGGGCACAAACCGTTCCATCAGTCATGGAGAAACACTGGTTTCTTCAGACCTAACCTTTGAGCTAGGATTCTTTACTCCTGGCAACTCGAGTATGAGCTACTTGGGTATATGGTACAAGTTTAGTCCTAGAACGGTCGTGTGGGTTGCTAATAGAAACAAGCCGATAGCGGATCGTAATGGTGTTCTCACATTCACCAATGTGGGCAATCTAGTTGTTCTCGACCAGTCGAATGGTGTGGTTTGGTCTTCAAAGTCGTCTAGGGTCCTCCGGAATCCAATTGCGCAGCTCCTGGATTCAGGAAATCTTGTTCTTTGGGATAGCTCCTTTTCAAGTTCTGATGAATCCTATTCGTGGCAAAGCTTCGATTGCCCGTCTGACACGCTTTTAGCGGGTATGAAGCTGGTGTTGAACCTGAAAACGGGTCTCGAACAGCGTCTCACTGCGTGGAAAAGCATGGATGACCCTTCTCCTGGAGATTATGTCCACAGTTTAAACTACAGTCAGGGTCTACCTCAGTATGAAGTAGTCCAAGTGGATAGGCATAGAAAAATATTTCGAACAGGGCAATGGAACGGAGTCCAATTTGTTGGCCTTCCCGCTGGATCAAATCCAGCTAATGTTCCCATGTTTGTGTACAATGAAACTGAGATCTCCTACATGTTTGAGGTTCAGAACAGGCAACTTTTCTCGACGATGAAATTAAACTATTTGGGAGTGCTGCAGATTTTTGTGGTCAATAGATCGAAAAGTGCCATGTGGAATGTCATGCTTGCGTTCCCTAGTGATCTTTGCGATTTTTATGGCAGCTGCGGTGCTAATGCCATCTGCAGCAGTAATTTGTGCGAATGTGTGAAAGGGTTCATGCCTAAGTCGCCTGACGAATGGGCGGTCCGCGTTTTTTCCAGTGGATGCAAGAGGACAATACCCACGAATTGTTCAAAAGGAGATGGGTTCATGGAAATTAAAAAAGTCAAACTGCCCGACCCGTTGGAGGTAACGCTGAACAGGAGTATGAGCCTCAAGGAATGCAAGGACGAGTGCTTGAAGAACTGTTCGTGCACGGCTTATGCTAATTCAGATATCACAGGAGGAGGCAGTGGCTGCCTCATGTGGTTCGGGGACTTGATTGACATGAGAATGCTCGAAGATGGGAAGTACGTGCAAGCTCTATACTTACGCCTATCAGCTTCTGAACTAGGTATTCATACTTATGCTAGTTGACTTTTTTTCTACTAATTTATTGAAATTCTTGTTCGTTGGGCAAGAGAAGTTTGGAAATAGTGAAGTTTGGAAATAGTTAATCTTCCCAACTCTTTTTCTTTACTCTAGATGCCATTCATGACCGAACCAGGAGGAAAATAATATTAGTAGCTGTCGTATTGAGTTCAATCATTGGTGGATTGCTAGCGGTTGGAACTGCATTGTGGGGTGCAAAGCATAAGAAAAGGAGAATTAGGATTGGAGGTAAGCCTGATCTTCGATTAAGGCAGATTTCATTATAAACTCAAAGTAGCCTGATCTTCGATTGGTTACAGGCACGCTAGTCGTTGTCATAGTCCTATGCTAATGCAAATCAATGCATATTACTTTACTAGGTCTAGAAATCACAAAAGAAGACATCGATTTACCATTATATGATCTGGCCGCCATTAAAAGTGCTACAAGCAACTTCTCTAATGACAATATGATAGGGGCTGGCGGCTTTGGTCCCGTTTATAAGGTACAGAGTTTTGTACATATCATTCTGTGTCGAACCGGTGACGCATATAACAACGATGTTGCTGTTTCGTAGGGAAATCTTCAGACAGGACAGCTAGTAGCAGTCAAGAGGTTATCAAAGAGTTCCGGGCAAGGTCTTGAAGAGTTCAAGAACGAAGTACTCTTGATCGCACGACTTCAACACCGGAATCTTGTGGGACTTCTAGGTTGTTGCATTGAGGGAGACGAGAGGATCTTGCTTTACGAGTACATGGACAACAAGAGCTTGAATTACTTCATATTTGGTCAAACAATTTCGCTCCCTGCTGATCAAATAATACTCTTTCATATTGATACTGATCTAAGTTAGCACTTTTCATTAGTTATTTTGTTGAGATTGATCGTGCGAATTTTGAACCATCCACAGATCAAGAAAAAAGCCTGTTGTTGACATGGCAAAGACGGTTTGACATTGTTGTCGGAATTGCAAGAGGACTTCTCTATCTTCACCGTGATTCCAAACTTCAAGTAATCCACCGAGATCTTAAAGCAAGTAACATATTACTAGATGGCGACCTAAACCCTAAAATCTCAGATTTTGGCTTGGCAAGAATCTTCGGAGCTAACGAAAAAGAAGCGAGAACAAACAGAGTCATTGGAACTTAGTAAGTCTTTTCTTTTGGTTCTTGACAGGAAGCACTCATTATTACAGAGGACCACAGCCTAAAAACCTTGTATTTGCGAAATGCAGCGGCTACATGGCCCCTGAGTATGCTATGGATGGGAAATTCTCTTTGAAGTCGGACATATATAGCTTTGGTGTGCTCCTGTTGGAGATAATCAGCGGCAAAAGAAATAGAGGATTTTCCCATCTAAGCCATCACCACAACCTTCTCGGACATGTAAGTAAACAGGCACTGTTAACATTGGCATTCCATCTCTCTCGTATCTTTCACACGGTCATTCAGGGTGATTTCTCAATGACCAAGCACACGAGTTCCCAATTTTTCCTCAGGCATGGTTGCTTTGGAGTGAAGGTAGAGCCTTGGAGATAATGGAGGTATGCCTACACAGCTCATTTGACAGAACCCAAGTGGAAAGATGCATTCAAGTGGGCTTGTTGTGTGTCCAAAATTTCCCCGAAGACCGGCCGTCTATGTCATATGTAATTTGTATGATACTCAATTGTGGTTTGGTTCTGCCTGAACCTAAAGAGCCCGGTTTCTTCACGGAAAGAAACTCAGATGGGGCTTCATCAAAGGGAGACTCACATACGCAAAATGTTGTCACTCTGACTATGCTGGAGGGTCGGTAGGCATTCTGGGTCACAAGAGTCGAAAGTTCAGTATTGCTATAGATTACTAGGTTTTTCATGGGATTCTGTATGGATGTTTTGGTTTACCTGGGCCATTGCAATGTATCAGAGATGCCTCTACTTGTAGGGTTTTATGGCCAAGTCACAAGACAAGTGGGACTCGCTTAATTCGACAGAGGTTAATGTTTGAGGAACATCTATCCCGCTTAGTCTTGTGGTGAGGGTTTTATGATACTTTTAGTATAAAAGTCTCATAATTTCTCTGAAGAAGCATGATTTCTATATTAAGCACAACGATAGGAAGAGCTACTTAAAAGTGGAAGCTAAGAAAAGTCAAATAAATTTAACTTTAAAATGAGATTGTTTTCCTAATGATTGTCAGTAATATATATATCGATAAACCATTCAAACATGCACTCATTTCATTTTCAAGTTAGAGGTGATCATTAATCAAGCTTGAGCTTAGCTAGGCATTAAGGTCGCTCTTAAATTTTTGCAAACCTGTCCATCGTAAGATTTTCTATATGCAAATCTTTGGGTCGGGCCAGGCTTTGACTAGGGCTCGATCAGGCTGTGTTAGGCTTTTCTACCGAATAGTCTTAATCCTTGTGACTAGGGTTGAGCAGTCGGATCTGTGATAGTTTATTACAAGTTAATACGTTCCAAAGTTTCATTGTCAGAAAATGGTATACTTGAATTGTAATAACACGAAGACGGAATTAATTGATGCCACACAGCCATTGTTCGCATTGACATTTTTTTAACTTTGGTCTAACATTTAGCTTAATTACTAGATTAAAGTAACATAAATTGTTCAAATAATCATATGAAATCCTAAAATGGGATCCCGCAAAAAATATTAGCCCGTTTTGGACAATGATTAAAGATCCTGCAAGAAGCTGTTAGATGAATGCGTGATTTATTATATAAATATTTTAACGCTCCCCCTCACTTTTGGTATGGTCTTTTTGTCTAGCAGTTAGTACTAAGCATGAAAATATTTAATTGTGAGGACAAATAAAGCGTGAAAAGATTCGGACTCAGGACCTTTAGCTTTGATAACATGTGGGATTTTGTGAGACCACTATCAACTGTTTTGAATATTTAAACTGTTAGATGAATGCGTGATTTATTACTTAAATATTCTAATAGATCCAAAGGTGGAAGAGAGGGCCCTCGTACTCTGATAGCTCTAGGCCAGCCAAAGCATCGTGTGGGCTTCTTTATGGATGGAACTATAAAAGTGGGTCTCTGGTCTTTCACTTCACAAATATCGATCCATTTTGTTAGTGATTAATTCAAAATACACAACTCATTCAAACCTTCTATTCTACAATCCTCGATTCCACGTCCATGATTATTGATTCTGATATGTAGTCAACCCATTTGAATGGTTAAAACCACCCGCCAAGAAAGCTAACCCAAATGCTGCTCTAGTGTTAACTTCGCATGACGTTCATGAAGTCCAAAGGGACATGGCTGACCCTGACGTAATCCTTGACCAGGAACGACGGTTTCGATTAACTTACGGTTTAGCTGGAAAAGTATGACGTATGAACACGGCGAAAGTGAAAAGAGGTCCGTAAGTATGAGTTCCTGCCTTCTAAAATGGAATCCAAACTTGCTGCTATAAACACAGTGAATGAAGTAGTACATGGAGAACTTAGAGAGGGAGAAATAGAAGTGTCAGAGTTAAGAACGGAGAACTAAGGGAATATGCACGCAAACCGGTAAATCTTAAAGAGGAAAGCAATAAAAGATGTTTAGACTTTGAGAACCTGTTTGAATTGTCTTCATGTTTTGGGCAAGTTTAGAATGATTTGCATATAAAGATGAAGTAAGAACTTAGGACAGGACATTAGCAAACAATGGCAAAGATTGCATTCTCCATTTTCATCTCATCCCCTCGATCGGTCTGTCACTTGCAGCCAATACCTTGGGTACGAACCAGTCCATGAGTTATGGAGAAACATTAGTTTCCTTGGACCTAACCTTTGAACTAGGATTCTTTACTCCTGGGAACTCGAGTATGAGCTACTTGTTATATGGTACAAGTTTAGTCCTAAAACAGTTGTGTGAGTTGCTAACAGAAACAACCTGCAAGCCAATTGTGACTTTTTTTTCATATTTAGCAATGTGGACAATCCAGTTCTCAATCAGTCCAACGGTGTTATTTGGTCTTCAAACTCATCCAGGGTCCTCCTGGATTCGGGAAATCTTGTCATTTCACATAACTCCGTTTGAGTTCTGATGAAGCCTATCTGTGGTAAAGCTTTGATTACCCGTCTGACACGCTTTTAACCGGTATGAAGCTGGGGTCGAACTTGAAAACGGGTCTAGAACGGCATTTTTGACCGCATGGAAAAACATGGGCAACCCTTCTCACGATGTCAATTGGTGAAACTACAGTAACGGTCTACCTCAGTATGAAGTAGTCTAAGTGGAGGTGCATAGCAAAAAATTTCGAATGAGGCAATGGAACAGAATTCAATTTGTCGGCGGTCCAAATCCAGCTAAAGTGCCCATGTTTGTGTATGATGAAACCGAGATCTCCTCCACATTTGAGGTTCAGAGGGATTGAAATCAAACTATTTGGGAATGCTGCAGGTTTTCTGTGGTGAATACACAAAGAGGAGCCACGTGTAATGTTATGCATGAGTTGCCTAGTGATCCGTATGGCAGGTGCATTCCTGTGCCATCTGCAGCCGTAGTTTGTGTGAATGTGCGAAAGGGTTCATGCCTAAGTCGCCTGACGAATGGGCGGTCCGTGATTTTTCCAGAGGATGCAAGAGGACAATACCCTCGAATTGTTCAAAAAGAGAAGGTTCTTGGAAATAAAAAAAGTTAAACTGCCTGACCTGTTGGAAGTTACGCTGAACGAGAGTATGAGAAGTAAGGAATGCAAGAACGAGTGCTTGAAGAAATGTTAGTACACAGTTTTGCCGCTGTATTCTTTTGGCATGCATAATCTAAGTCCAAAGCAAATAAAAAAGGAAAACAGATAAACAATGGCTGGCACCGCGAACACCATGGCAATGCATGACGATATAAAAGTAATTTGTACAGACTCATATTATTATTGATGTCGCGACATTGGATATAACTAATAGCGGTAGAAAAATAAAGTAGGAAGAAACTTGTGTTTATTATAAGATCCCCAGTGACAAATTTACTTTTTCACATATGTATTAATATATTGAGGAATTACAATATAAGTGGATGGACGAGAAAGCTTGTGATAAATCTCTTCTTCTCCTTTTTGGATTTTGTGCTTCGATTTTCTTTTGAATAAGAGGGTGCGTGAGGAACCATTTGTCGTGGATCTTCTGAAGTAGAAGTTCACAGACAGAGAAGGTATCTCTGCAGTTTCCTACAGCTAAAGTACATGCATATCAGCTTCTTGCATGCCTTTTTGCAGTTGCTTCAAGAAAGCTTTATATATGCTCCTGTGACAGATTCATGGACATCCCTTTTATTTTATTCGACCTACCTTCGCAGAGCTTTTACCACTCTTTAGATATGCATGAGAGAGAGAGAGAGAGAGAGAGAGAGAGAGAGAGAGAGAGAGAGAGAGAGAGAGAGAGAGAGAGAGAGAGAGAGAGAGAGTATGCTCATTGCTGTGCTATGTAAGTTGTTGTCTAGTCCATAGTTTTGATTTTGTATGTCTATCATAGTAACCAAAATTATTTTTTCACATTGATTTTTCCAAAGGAAATATCTACTCTCCTACGCCGATAGCTTATTGGTTGGATTCTACTAAATGATCAATGAGAGATTATAGTCAAGTTGTGCCGCTTATATCCAAGCGCTTCTACCTAAAGCTGGTATTGCTTATACCTAAGCTGATAGATCACACTATCTCACACCTAAGCACACACTTACTACACTATCAGCACCTCTCAAATGATTAAAATTTTAAGCTCACGGAAGACAAGTATAAATGATCGAAGATCGCTCAGATTTTGGAATTCTAAATTTTGGACTTTGTCTTTTGCTTCTGCTCCTCAACACTTTGGTCTCCTTTTATACTCATCCACTTTTAATTTAGCTGTTGGACAGTTTCTAGAAGATCGTCTTCCAATCTACCTGCTGGACATATCTATATTAAGAAGATTAAGTAGCCATTGAGTGATAAAATCTGAATCTCCGCTGATTTTGGGATAATTTTCCTCATATAAACGGGAAAGAGCTACTTAATAGTTAGAAGCCAAGAAAAGTCAAATAAATCTAACTTTAGATATTATTGAAATATATGAATCATATTTAATTGCACCCTTCACTTTTTTTTTTTATCATCTATACATTACTAATAATATGGACCTGAGCAGGTCCTTAAAAGACTCAAGGCGAGACGAGGGAAGGAACTCCTTGGTATGGTAGAGGTTTTTTCCTTTGAACTCTCCTCGTATTCCTACCTAGCCTTGGAAGAAAAATAAGGGGGTGGGAATGTGGGAGCCTATCGGTGGTGAGGGTAAACACCACGCATATTCGGCTGACTATATCTGGATAGGAATGTTTAGTAGCTTTTCGTGCCTGGTGTGACATAGGAGAGTTTCGGCTCCTGCAGGGCTAGCGTGTGCTTTGCACAATTTGGTATAACCAGCTGCTAGCCTTGTACCCCCGTTAATTTCACATGATATCATATTTGATTGCACCCCTCACTTTGTTTTTTTTTTTTATCATCTATACAGTAATAATAATAAAATCATATGACAATCAAAGATTAAATTATACAATTATTTTCGCCGATGATTGTCGCTAATATAATATCGACAAACCATTCAAATGCAGTAATTTCATTATCAAATTGCAGCTCGTTCATTGAACGGGTTCGAGCTAGGCGGGGCCCTGGTTCAGTCTCAAGTTTTTGCCAAAACCAATTGATCATAAAAAATTTTACATGCAAATTTTCGGGCCGGATCGGACAGGGTTTTGACTCGGGTTCGCTAAGCTAGGCTATTTCACCGAATGATCTCACTCGAACCTGTACAAAAAGTCATTGGGACCTTGCGGCTGGGTCCAGGCCATTACGTGCGCATGTTTGCGTTGCATTTTTGGTCCGTACCGTGTTCTATGTGCATGCTCGTGCAAGGTCAAATCGACAAGTCAACAAAGATGTTCCCACATTTTTCGGACGTACCTTTTTCTTCAACATGGTCTAACATTTAGCCGAAGTGCTAGATTAAAAGGAAAAAAATTGTGTATTAATTTTAAGCATACAATTCATATAGCCCATTTATTGTATAATCCACGATCCATGTCCATGATTATTGATTTAGATGGTTAGTCGATTTTTTATATTATAATTACCTATGTCGATGTCTTAAATTATAATTATCAGATTATAGATCCCCTTAAATATATATCAAAGTTTTCTCGTCTACGCATTTCGAACATGAAAAAATTTACGATCTTAAAAGTGATTTCCCAATTTTTTTGTTCAAATCTCAACACTTTATACACTCATCATAGGATGAGTGATATGATGTGCAAGAAACCCGATATATAATCACTTGTATAATTCTTTCATATTTTTCCATTTTCCACGACAAAGCCTCCACAAATGGCCGGCTGCTGCCGTTTAATTCTCTTTGCCATACCGTCCAACCCATTTGAAGGGTTCAAACGACCCGCGAAGAAAGTGCGCCAAGAGCGGAATGTTGACTTCGCTTGCCGTTTCATGGTGTCCAAACGAGCAGGCTTGACCCTGAAATCATCGTTGACCAGGAATGATGGGTTCCATAGAGACAAACGCGTTAGGTTCATGTCAAAGTGTGTTAGAAGAGGTTAGAGTGATTTGCTTATAAAGATGGGGTTAGAATTTAGAAGAGGACATTTGCAAACGATGGCAAAGATCACATTCTCCATTTCCATCATCGTCCCCATGATCGGTTTGTCACTCGCAACCGATACTTTGGGCATGAACCGTTCCATCAGTCATGGAGAAACATTGGTTTCTTCAGACCAAACCTTTGAGCTAGGATTCTTTACTCCTGGCAACTCGAGTAAGAGCTACTTGGGTATATGGTACAAGTTTAGTCCTAAAATGGTTGTGTGGGTTGCTAATAGAAACAACCCGCTAGCGGATCGTAAAGGCGTTCTCACATTCACCAATGTGGGCAATCTAGTTGTTCTCAACCAGTCGAATGGTGTGGTTTGGTCTTCGGAGTCATCCAGGGTCCTCCGGAATCCGATTGTGCAGCTCCTGGATTCGGGCAATCTTGTTCTTTTGGATAACTCCGTTTCGAGTTCTGATGAATCCTATTCGTGGCAAAGCTTCGATTACCCATCTGACACGCTTTTAGCGGGTATGAAGCTGGTGTTGAACCTGAAAACAGGTCTCGAACGCCGTCTCACTGCGTGGAAAAGCATGGATGACCCTTCTCCTGGAGATTATGTCCACGGTTTAAACTACAGTCAGGGTCTACCTCAGTATGAAGTAGTCCAAGTGGATAGCCATAGAAAAATATTTCGAACAGGGCAATGGAACGGAGTCCAATTTGTTGGCCTTCCCTCTGACTCAAATCCAGCTTATGTCCCCATATTTGTGTACAATGAAACTGAGATCTCCTACATGTTTGAGGTTCAGAACAGGCAACTTTTCTCGACGATGAAATTAAACTATTTGGGAGTGCTGCAGATTTTTGTGGTCAATAGATCGAAAAGTGCCACGTGGAATGTCATGTGTGCGTTCCCTAGTGATCTTTGCGATTTTTATGGCAGCTGCGGTGCTAATGCCATCTGCAGCAGTAATTTGTGCGAATGTGTGAAAGGGTTCATGCCTAAGTTGCCTGACGAATGGGCGGTCCGTGATTTTTCCGGTGGATGCAAGAGGACAATACCCACGAATTGCTCAAAAGGAGAAGGGTTCTCGGAAATTAATAAAGTTAAACTGCCCGACCTGTTAGAGGTAACGCTGAACAGAAGTATGAGCCTCAAGGAATGCAATGACGAGTGCTTGAAGAACTGTTCGTGCGTGGCTTATGCTAATTCAGATATCACAGGAGACAGTGGCTGCCTCATGTGGTTCGGGGACTTGATTGACATGAGAGTGCTTGAAGAAGGGAACTACGTGCAAACACTATACGTACGCCTATCAGCTTCTGAACTAGGTATTCATACTTATGCTAGTTGACTTTTTTTCTGCTAATTTATTGAAATACTTGTTCTTTGGGCAAGAGAAGTTTGGAAATAGTTAATCTTCCCAACTCTTTTTCTTTACTCTAGATGCCACTCGTGACGGAACCAGGAGGAAGATAATATCAGTAGCTGTCATAATGAGTTCAATCATGGGGGGATTGCTTTCGATTGGAACTGCATTGTGGGGTGTAACGCATAAGAAAAGGAGAATCAGTATCGGAGGTAAGCCCGACCTTCGACCCAAAGCCAATCCGAGGAACAGTAAAGCTTCATAGGGAAGGCAGATTTCGTTATAAACTCTAAGTAGCCTTGCTTCAATTGGTTATAGGCACGTTAGTTCGTTGTCATAGTCCTATGCTAATGCAAATCAATGCATATTACTTTACTAGGTCTAGAAATCACAAAAGAAGACATCGATTTACCATTATATGATCTTGCCGCCATTACAAGTGCTACAAGCAATTTCTCTAAAGACAATATGATTGGGGCTGGCGGCTTCGGTCCTGTTTATAAGGTATAGAGTTTTGTACATAGCATTCTGCACCGAACTGGTGACGCATATAACAACGATTTTGCCGTTTTGTAGGGAAATCTTCAGACAGGACAGCTAGTAGCAGTCAAGAGGTTATCAAAGAGTTCCGGGCAAGGTCTTGAAGAGTTCAAGAATGAAGTACTCTTGATTGCACGGCTTCAACACCGGAATCTTGTGGGACTTCTAGGTTGTTGCATTGAGGGAGAGGAGAGGATCTTGCTTTACGAGTACATGGACAACAAGAGCTTGAATTACTTCATATTTGGTCAAACAATTTCGCTCCCTACTGATCAAATAATACTCTTTCATATTGATACTGACCTAAGTTAGCACTTTTCATTAGTTATTTTGTCGAGATTGACCGTGAGAATTTTGAACCATCCACAGATCAAGAAAAAAGCCTGCTGTTGATATGGCAAAGACGGTTTGACATTGTTGTCGGTATTGCAAGAGGACTCCTCTATCTTCATCGTGATTCCAAACTTCAAGTAATCCACCGAGATCTTAAAGCAAGCAACATATTACTAGATGGCGACCTAAACCCTAAAATCTCCGATTTTGGCTTGGCAAGAATCTTTGGAGCTAACGAAAAAGAAGTGAGAACAAACAGAGTCATTGGAACTTAGTAAGTCTTTTCTTTTGGTTCTTGATAGGAAGCACTCATTATTACAGGGGAATACAGCCTAAAAACCTTGTATTTGCAAAATGCAGCGGCTACATGGCCCCTGAGTATGCTATGGATGGGAAATTCTCTTTGAAGTCGGACATATATAGCTTTGGTGTGCTCCTGTTGGAGATAATCAGCGGCAAAAGAAATAGAGGATTTTCCCATCCAAGTCATCACCACAACCTTCTTGGACATGTAAGTATACAGGCACTATTAACACTGGCATTCCATCTCTTTCGGAAAATTCACATGGTCATTCAGGGTGATTTCTCAATGACCAAGCACACGAGTTCCCAATTTTTCTTCAGGCATGGTTGCTTTGGAGTGAAGGTAGAGCCTTGGAGATGATGGAGGTATGCCTACACAGCTCATTTGACAGAACCCAAGTGGAAAGATGCATTCAGGTGGGCTTGTTGTGTGTCCAAAAGTTCCCTGAAGACAGGCCGGCTATGTCATATGTAATTTGTATGATACTCAATTGTGGTTTGGTTCTGCCTGAACCTAAAGAGCCCGGTTTCTTCACGGAAAGAAACTCAGATGGGGCTTCATCAAAGGGAGACTCACATATGCAAAATGTTGTCACTCTGACTATGCTGGAGGGTCGGTAGGCATTTGGGCCATAAGAGTCGAAAGTTTGGTATTGCGATAGATTACTAGGTTTTTCAGGAGAACTTGTATCCATATCTAGTTTAGCAAGGCCATTGCAATGTATCAGAGATGCCATTGCTTGCAGGGTTTTTTGGCTAAGCCACGTGAAGAGTGGGACTTGCTCAGTTCGATAAAGAGGTTTTATGAAACTTTTGCAGGTGAAGTTACCTGAACTGGTATATAAGTCTTATAATTTCTATTAAGAAGCATGATTTCTATATAAGCACAAAGATGGGAAGACCCACTTAAAAGTGGAAGCTAAGAAAAGTCATATAAATCTAACTTTAGATAAAATTATTCTCCTAATGATTGTCAATTATATATCGATACGCACTAATTTCATTTTCAAGTTAGAGATGGTCATTGAGTGGGCTCAAGCTGGATAGGTATTAACATTGGTCTTAAATTTTTGCCAAACCTATCTATCATAAAATTTTTACATGCAAATCTTTGGGTCAGACCAGGCTAGGCTTTGGCTAGGATCGGGCCGTGTTAGGTTTTTTCACCCAATACTCTTACTCAGATTTGTCCAAAAAGTCTTCCAGACTTTGTGACTGGGGCTGGACACTCAGATCCATGATAGTTTATTTCAGGAAAAGGAGAAGAATAAAAAATAATAAAAAAGTAAAAAAATTCTTGAAAAACTATAAAAAATTGTCCACGCCATCACCGGCCGTCCAACGTGGCACTTTCGGTGTCCATGTTAGTGAATTCCAATTAAAATTAGCCGGATGGATTTAATTGGCAAAACGCGAAAAAGTTTGGACTTAATGGTACAATTAAAAAGTTTATGAGTGAATTGGCACAAGTATAATAGGTTTAAAACTTTTTTAGTTATTTTCCCTCTTAATTGTAACAATCAACGGATGAAACAAAAGAAAGTAATTTCAGCCCCCAAAAGGGGAAAAAAAGAAGTAACTCGAAGAAGGTATTAATTGATCATAAGCATTATGAGTGCTTTTCTTTTTTAGCCTTTTTGGTCCATACTTGCATGCTATATGCATGTGTCACAGACCGGCTGTTCCTTGGCCGCGGAATAGCCTGTGCGACGCCTGGCGGGTCATTCACACAAGGCCAGCCCTCATTCTATAGTTGTTCTAAAGAACAATATGGTGATTCGCTTCCACGTATCGGATTGTACCATGCCTAGCTAAGCTCGGGCGTCTAGTCCATCAAGCGAGACACGCAGAGTACTTTAGGCATCACAATTGATTTCGACCTGCCATGGTCTCATCAGAAGAGCGGCATTAGCTTCCGACCAGTTTGTGCACGAGAGGCCAATCCTGCCCTCAGAGTTCCTAAGGGTATATTCTTTCCATTCTAGAACTCCTAACACCAACCGTTTTGATACCACTCTTACGACCTGGTTGTATTCATCCATTCTGTATCCTCACTCTTCACCCAATAACCTCAAGCACCGTTTACAATGGTACATGAGTATGATAAAATTACGGTCCATGATATTCTCCCGACTCAATTCAGCAACGCCTTTGTTGCGAGCTATTTTGTCGCTTCCCTGCATCACTTCTTGACCATCAATATCGCTTTTTCGGGACTTACATAAGTGGTGACGCTCGCCCAACAAAACAAGGTAGCTTTTCTCGATCAGAGCCGTTTGGTACCCTCGGTCACTTGTGCTTTCCTTGACAAGTGTGACATTCGCCAGCTGCACCATTTTGGCAGCACCATTCTTCACTAACATTTGGATTCTCATGATCTCAGTAGACCAATGGAGGTTTTTCTCCTTATTGATATCGTGGTAGTAGACCCTTCTTGAGACTCGCCAAATTGATCCAAAAACGTTTTCCTATTTAGTGAGGAATTGATCCTTTTCTGTGCCCCCATTGTCATCCTACAAGCTGGTTGAGAGCTGCATTTTTTTTGAGTATTTTTTGGCTTTGGCAATTCACTCTTCGCCCTTGTAGGATCGGGTAGACCACAGGTTTTCTTTGACTCACTCACCTACTGGAGGGATCTTGCTCTGATACTATCTTTCACAGGCCGACAGTTCCTTGGCCGTGGATTAGCCCATGCAGTGCATGGTGGGTTGTTTACACTAGGCCAACCCTCGTTCTATAGTTGTTCCAAAGAACAATACGGTGAATAGTTTCCTCGTATCGGGTCGTACCATGCCCAACTAAGCTCAATGTCAAGTTCATCGAGCGAGACACCTAGAATACTTTAGGCATCACAATTGGTTTCGGCCTGCCATGGCCTAATCAAAAGAGCGACATTAGTTCTCGACTAGTTTGTGCACGGGAGACCAACCCCGCCTTCAGAGCTCTTAAGGGTATATTATTTTCATTCTATAACTTCTAGTACCCACCATCCTGACACTACTCTCACGACCCAGTTGTATTTATCCCTTCTGCATCCTTACTTTTCACTCGATAATCCCGAGCACCACTCACAAGGGTATAAGAGTACGAGAGAATCACGGTCCGTGACACATGCATGTACAATGTCAAATTGAAAAGTCATAAAAATGTTCCAATTATTGTTCGCATGGATCTTTTCCTTAAACATAGCCAATATGTAGTCGAAGTACAAGGTTAGAAAAATATAAACAGTTCAAGTAATCACATGAACATCCTAAGACAGGCATCCTACAAAATTTGTCCCCCATTTTGGGCAATGATTGAAGATCCAAATGTGAAAGAAAGGGCCCTTGCTGAGTTGCTTGTACCTTGATAGCTTTAGGCCATTTGAACTTTTTAATTATGCCAATTCAGTCCTAAACCTTTTGATGATTTACCAATTTAGTTATAAACCTTTTTTTTTGTGTCAATTTAGTCCTAAACCATTTGAAAATTTGCCAATTTAATTATAAACCTATTATTTGAATATTTGGTCAGCAGGACTATATTGATAAATCGTCAAAATGTTTATAACTAAATTGGCAAAGTATCAAAAGTTTTAGGGCTAAATTAGCACAATTAAAAGGTTTCGAATAAAATTGGCAAATTTTTTAAATGTTTATGACTAAATTAGCACAATTAAAAGATTTAGAACTGAATTGACCTCCGTACAATCATTTTAGGACTTGTTGAACAATTTTCCTGTGAATGGAACTATATAAGTGGGTCTATGGTCTTTCACTGATATGTAGTCAATTTTCTAAACTATAATATATCATATGAATGGTTAAGACTTCAAAAAACATAATCTTGCAAATCATTTTCCATGTTTTTTTTTCCATCTTAGCACTTTATATACTGTTACAGCCTCTAAGAATGGCGGCCGCTGCTTTTTATTTCTTTTTGCCAGACCGTCAAACCCATTTGAAGGGTTAAAACGATCCACCAATAAAGTTCACCCAAACGTCGCTCTAGTGTTAACTTCTCAAGTCGTTCATAGCTAACCCTGAGTCATCCTTGACCAGGAACGATGTTTTCGATAGAGACAAACGTGTTATGTTCATGTCAAAGTATCTGAGTTTCATCTGATGTTGGATTAACTTATGATTTGGTTGGAAAAGTATGCTGGATGAACATGGCCGAAGCAAAAAGTGGTCGAGTTCCAGCCTTTTAATATCCAAGTGGAATCCAAAGTTGCTGCTATGAACAAAGTGAATAAAGTAGACATCGAGAACTTGCAGAAGGAGAAATATGAGTAGTCAGAGTTAAGAACAGAGAACCAAGGGAATATGCACGAAAACCGGTACAAGGATCCAGTAAAACTTACGGCGGAAGCAATAAAAAAAATGTTACTTTGAGGAGGCGTTTAAATTGGGCATAATTTTAAAAAAAAACACAAACGTTATTTTGAGTGACAATTCTGATACGAATTTTTTTTGTATTATAAAAAATCACAAAATTTCACTTAAATCTCAAATTTGGCCTGAATAATTTGAAAATTTCATATCAAGGGGGCCATATTTAGGGCTCGAGTAAAAGTTGGTGCTTTTTATTGAGACAAAAAAAGTTCAGGTCAGAATTGTCACTGAAGGTAAAGTTGGTGCTTTTTTTTTTTTGGAATTAGCCGTTTAAATTGTGTTCATGTTGTGGATTAGTTTAGAATGATTTGCATATAAAGTTGGACTTAGAACTTAGAAGAGGACATATGCAAACAATGGCAAAGATCACATTCTCCATTTTCATCTTCATCCCTTCCATCGGTTTGTCACTTGCAGCTGATACTTTGGGCACAAACTGGTTCATCAGGTATGGAGAAACATTGATTTCTTCGGACCTAACCTTTGAACTAGGATTCTTTACTCCTGGGAGTTCGAGTATGAGCTACTTGGGTATATGGTACAAGTTCAGTCCCGAAATAGTTGTGTGGGTTGCTGTCGCGACCCTCTTTTTCCGTCGTGGGAAAAAGGAACGGGTTTAGGTGGTATTGCCCAAAAAGGCGGACGATCTAGGCGCGAACTCTCCCCAAGTTCATAGCCCGCGCAACGTTGGATTTCGTTTTGAATTCTCGATAACTTAAGTACTTCTAGGAGTCGCCACTAGCCTATTGGGGTCGGCTAGAAACCAATCAAGACGTGGGAGTGTCGCCTCGATTCCTACGCAACCAGAGATTCTAGGGCCGGTGACTTGTTTACACTAACATTTCTATTAGCGTCCTTTCGGTACCTAACTTGAGAGTGCATTATCTAAGTGGTCACGCGATCTTGATCATCAATTATAATCCTATGATATCAAAGCCGCTAAGTGTCCTTGCAAATGTTTTTGTGGGAGTGTTTTCTTCAATGCCTAGATTAATACTAACCTAATTTAGGAAAGAAATTAACACTCAAATTATCGAAAAGCAGAGCAGTAAGTAAACATCCAAGAAATTAAAATGACTTAAAAGTAAACGCGGAAAGAGAAAACCCGATACAAGTCGGGCAAATAATATTACATGGCCTCGTTATCACGCCCCGGGACAGGACCCCCATGAGCGAAATGAGAATTTAAATATGCATGAAATTACTCTAGCTGCACAAAACTATTCTAAGTAATTTTAGTCTATGCAAAATGGATTTTTTTGTTGTTGTAAAAATAGTAATAAAATACCAAAATAGCATTAAATTAGGGAAATGACTTTATAAAATTAGAAAAATCTCATAAATGTCATTTTTTGCATAATTTGATACTATCCAACATTTTTCATTTTTTTTGAAATTTTCCAATTTTTTTTATTTTTCATTTTTTCATTTTTTATTTAAAAAATAATAATTCCCTAAATCGGCCTATGCTCGGTTTACGTGAACATGAAACAACTCAGAGTATGAATATTATGAGAACCGGGCTCAAATCAACCGTTTCAAGATCGAAGCTTGGTTTGGGCATTTCGTCGAGCAATTGGTGTGCATTAAACTGCCCCAAATGGCTTCTTCGAGCCATATTCGTGGCCTTCAATCTCACTTCGTGTGTAATATCAAGTGGAACCAAAGTATCAAGGTTATATTATCACATGCAAAGAACAAGATTAGCTAGAAATCACAACCTAAAAAGCACAAGAACCAAGTTGGAATCGGCCTCCAATATGTGGGTTTGGGCTGCTTTTGCAAATCTGGGGTTAAACCCAGGTCAAGCAAACCTGTTGCATGCCCAGGTTTAAGCCCCGACACTCATCACGTGCAAGATCTATGGGAAACATCACTTCATCCGAAAGAACATCTACTTTTAAATGAAACAAACATCATGGAGAATGATCAAGTGAACACGTCGAAACAACCCCTCCAAGAAGCATACACGCATGGTTCATAATGACTAGCCATGAATCAATGTGGGTTAGCTTGGCTTTTTACTCAAGTTGCAAGCGATCTCATGGTTCACACGGGGCTTCAAAGACCAAACCAAGTGGATCTCAGCATAATTTGTACACCCATATAACATTCATCAAGCTCATGAAGGTAGAAAACGCATGCAAAGAGGAGTAGCAAGTCAAACATATAGGGCTCATGAAGGGGCTCCAATACTTAAAAAATTCCAGCCTCAGAAATCAGTTCTCTGGGCTGGTTTTCTCTTGATTTTTCATGACTAAAACATGTTCAAAATTGAACAAAAATACATGTAGGATACTCACCTTGCTTCCTAGTTTCTCTTTGAAGTATCCCTTGGCCGAGGGAACCAAAAAACTTGTCTTCCAAGGGCGCGGGGAAATAAGCTTCTTCAGACTGGAAAATGAGATCTGCAAAGAAAGAACTGACAACGAAGGTTTTTGTTGGTCTACAAAACCAGAATCAACGACCTCTTTTTCTGACTAATTTGACACCAACCCCAACTAGATTTATTCTAGTTCAATTTCCAAGTCAAGGGTATGCTCATATGTTCCTCATGTCTCTCAAAAACTCCCACTTTCCCTCACCAGTAACCGTCTGACTTCAACACTTAGAAAATTCTGGGTCTCTCTTGACCCGAAAATGGGCTGCTTTTCGAGGGGATTTTGGGTGGCTTCCCGACATCCATTTGGGACGTGCGACCTATGGTTGGAAATTTATTTGAATGTAGTTCCACTCTCTAGTTGAAGGTTTTGGCTAATTTTGTCTCGAAGTTCACGAAAATCTCCCTTTTCTCTCCAAAAGCCAATCTGGAACTTTTTTTGGGTTCATTTTCTGTTTGAGTTGCGTCTGAGGGTGTTTTTGGAACTACCGTCCACTCCCCTCCTCTTGTCTCATCCCTTTCTTTTTATCCCCCAAAATAACGTGCTTCAGAGATCCTATCCACCGAATCCAACCAGATTTTTAGCCCGTGATTGCCCACTTACCAAGCCTGCAAACTGAGTCTCTTCACCAACTCTGACTCCAAAATCATCATACTTTGCAGCTGTTGAGTGAGCAGGTTTGACTGAGATTATCCCGTGCCTTCAGCAGCTAATCCCTGGCAAATTTTTGTCCATTTTCACTCCTAATGATGGTCTCACACCTCGGCCAGAGTTCACGCTGATCGGCTGGCTGAGTAGGATATGGTGGGGCCACAAAGTTGGCTACTCAGCAGCCTCGAATTGAGACCAAATCGTGGACCGGTTTTTGGAAGCTGATTTAAGTGCTTTAATCCATTAATTTGGTCGGAATTTTTTATCAGTTTGAAATTTGAAGCATATTAGTTTAAGATGATAATCAGAATTTGCAATTTTCCATGCCCAATTTTGCAGGAAAGTCCCTCAAAATTAGCCATTTTCTTGCCCAAGAATGCCCGATTTGAGCCAATTTAGTCCTTTTGGCTTGATCTGATCAATTTTACCTTGCCCGTTTTCAATTTCAAGCTTGATTAGGGGTAAAAATGATGATTTAAGGGCTTGGGGGCAAATTTTACAAATTTTGCAATTTGGTCTCCCAACTTTTGGAAATTGCATTTTGGCCCCAACTTGCTGGTTCATTTGCAATTTGATCCCTCAGGTCTTGGCTAGCTACCCTCGAATCCTTGGCCCTTGCTCTTCCGTTTTTTTTAGTAGAATAATTCCAAAATATTTTTGTGGAAAAACAAGTTCCAATTTTTCGAAAATGATTTTTGGGCAAAAAATTTAGGTGCCAACAGTTGCTAACAGAAACAACCCGCTAGCCGATCGTGACGGTGTCCTGACATTTAGCAATTTTGGAAATCTAGTTGTTCTCAACCAGTCAAATGCTGTTGTTTGGTCTTCCAAGTCGTCCAGGGTCCTCTGGAATCCAGTTGCGCAGCTCCTAGATTCGGGAAATCTTGTTTTTTGGGATAATTCCAGTTCCAGGTCTGATGAAACCTATTTGTGGCAAAGCTTCAATTACCCGTCCGACACACTTTTAGCTAGTATGAAGCTGGGGTCGAACTTGAAAAGGGGTCTCGAGCGGCGTCTGACTGCGTGGAAAAGCATGGACGACCCTTCTCCGGGAGATTATATCTATGAGTTAAACAGCAGTCAAGGTCTACCTCAGTATGACCTAGTCCAAGTGGATGTGCATAGAAAAGTATTTCGAACTGGGGAATGGAACGGAGTTCAATTCTTTGATGTTTCCTTTGCACCAAATCCAGTTAATGTGCTCATGTTCGTGTACAATGAAACTGAGAAGTCCTTCATGTTTGAGGTTCAGAACAGTCAACTTTTGTTGAGAATGACATTAACCTATTTGGGAGTGCTGCAGGTTTTTGTGGCGAATAGATCGAGAAGCGCTGTGTGGAATGTCATACACAAGTTCCCCAGTGGTTTGTGCGATTCTTATGGCAGGTGCGGAGCTAATGCTGTCTGCAACATTGGTTTGTGCGAATGTGTGAAAGGGTTCATGCCTAGGTCACCTGATGAATGGACTGTCCGTGATTTTTTGAGAGGATGCAAGAGGACGATACCCACGGATTGTTCGAAAGGAGAAGGGTTCTTGGAAGTTAAAAAGGTTAAACTGCCGGACCTGTTGGAGGTTACGGTGAACAAGAGTATGAGCCTTAAGGAATGCAAGGAGGAGTGCTTGAAGAACTGTTCGTGCACAGCTCATGCTAATTCAGATATCAGAGGAGGAGGCAGGGGCTGTATCATTTGGTTTGGGGACTTGATCGACATGAGAATGTTCGAAGAACAGAACCACGGGCAAACACTATACGTACGCATATCAGCTTCTGAACTAGGTATGCATACTTATGCTTATTAACTATTTTTCTGTTACTTATTGAAGTACTTGTTATTTGGGAAAGAGAAATGTGGAAATAGTTAATCTTCGCAATTCTTTTTCTCTACTCTAGATGCCATTCGTGACCGTACCGGGAGGAAAGTAATTATCGTCGCTGTCATATTGAGTTCCATCATTGGTGGATTGCTTTTGGTCGGAGCTTCATTGTGGTGTGTAAAGCATAGGAAAAGGAGAATCGGTATTGGAGGTAAGCCTGATATTTGATTGAGGCAGATTTCGTCAGAACTCAAAGCTGCCTTTCTATTGGTTTAATAGGTGCGCTAGCTCGTTGTCATAGTCCTATACTGATGCAAAACAACGGACATTACATAATCTAGATATCACAAAAGAAGACATCGATTTACCATTATACGATCTGGCCGCTATTGTAAGTGCCACGAACAACTTCTCTGATGACAATGTGATTGGGACTGGCGGGTTCGGTCCTGTTTACAAGGTACATAATTTAGCCTATGTCATATAGAATTCTGCACCGAATTGATGACACAATGTAAAAAGGATGCTGCTATTGTGTAGCGAAATCTTCAAACAGGACAGCTGGCAGCTGTCAAGAGGCTATCGAGGAGTTCAGGGCAAGGTCTTGAAGAGTTTAAGACTGAAGTGCTTTTGATTGCACGACTTCAACACCGGAATATTGTTGGACTTCTAGGTTGTTGCATTGAGGGAGAGGAGAGAATCTTGCTTTACGAGTACATGGATAACAAGAGCTTGAATTACTTCATATTTGGTTAGACAATTTCACTTTTTAGTTCCCTACCGATCAAATGATACTCTTTCATAGTAATACTGATCTCACTTACAAATTTTCGTAGTTATTTTTTCTTGAGATTGACCGTGTGAATCATGATCCATCTACAGATCAAGAACATAGCCTGTTGTTGACATGGCAAAGACGGTTTGACATTGTTGTTGGTATTGCAAGAGGACTTGTCTATCTCCACCATGATTCCAAACTTCAAGTAATCCATAGAGATCTTAAAACAAGCAACATATTACTAGATGGCGACCTAAATCCTAAAATCTCCGACTTTGGCTTGGCTAGAATCTTTGGAGCTAATGAAAAAGAAGCGAGAATAGAAAGAGTCATTGGAACTCAGTAAATCTTTTCTCTGTGTTTTTTTTTTTTGGGTTCTTGACATGAAGCGCTCATTATAACAGAGGACGACAGCCTAAAAGCTTTCTTTTACCGAAATGCAGCGGCTATATGGCCCCAGAGTATGCTTTAGATGGTAAATTCTCTTTAAAGTCGGACATATACAGCTTTGGCGTGCTCTTGTTGGAGATAATCAGCGGCAAAAGGAACAGAGGATTTTCCCATCCAAGCCATCACCACAACCTTCTCGGACATGTAAGTAAACAGGCACTAGTAATCCTAGCATTCCACATCTCTTTAATCTTTCATACGGTCATTTGGGACGATTTCTCAATGACTAAGCACACCATATCCCAATTTTTCTTCAGGCATGGTTGCTTTGGGGTGAAGGTAGGGCCTTGGAAATAATGGATGAATGCCCGCACAACTCATTTGACAAAACCCAGGTGGAAAGATGCATTCAAGTGGGCTTGTTGTGTGTACAAAAGTTCCCCGAAGATAGGCCGGTCATGTCGTCTGCAATTTGTATGATAGTCAATTGTGGATTGATCCTGCCTGAACCTAAAGAGCCCAGTTATTTCATGGAAAGAAACTCGCGGTACTCCGATGGGGCATCACCCAAGGGGGACTTACATTCGCAAAATGCAATCAGTTTGACTATGCTGGAAGGCCGGTATGCTTTTTGTGGTACTGGAGTCGAAACTTCGGTATTGCTATAGCTTACTAGGTTTCTGTCGATAGAGACTTTGTATCCATACTTGGTTTAGCAGGGCCCAATTGCAAGGTATCATTGCAAGGTATCAGAGATGCCTCTGCTTGCAGGGTTTTACGCCTAAGTCATAATAAGAGCGGGACTTGCTTAGGTTGATAGAGCGGTGCATGAGGAAAATTTTCGTTTGTATTGTTGTCGTGGCAAGGGTTTTATGAAACTTTCGCTAGTTAAATTTCCTGACCTGGTACATAAGGGCTGTTTTGTAACCGGCCAAACAGTGTTTGATTCTGTTATTTTGTTCCCGGAAAAAAAAAAAGAACAAAAATCCGTTTGGTAAATTTTTTGTTCCCAGGAATGGTTTTGGAACATAATCAAGAATAAAAAAAAATTGCTTCTTATTTTTGGGAACCAAAAAAAGAATCAAAACAGAAACCAATTTTTTTTTCTTCTTCTCCTTTCTTGGTCTGTGATTGGTCGTCGGTTGGTCTTCGGCCATGGCCGGCGAGGGGCCTCACCAGCCACGGGCGAGGCTAGGGCTAAACCCTCGCGATGCAGGCGAGGGTCGCCCTCGCCGGCACGCCCTGCAGGCACGGCTCGCACCGTGGGTGCAGGGGCAAGGGCGGCCCTCGGGGGGGGGGGGCAAGGGCGGCCCTCACCGAGGGCTGGCGGGCGAGGGCTGTGCCGCCGGGCCATAGGCTAAGGAAGAAGAAAAAGAAAAAAAGCAGAAAAAAGAAAAAAAAAAGAAAGAAATATTAAAAAAATCAAGATATTATTAAAAAATTTGAGTAGTTACCAAACACATCTCTGTTCTTTTTTGTTCCAGAAATAGAAATTTTAGGCAATTACCAAATGCCTTCAAATGCTCAGAAATTATTTCTGGGAACAGATTAAAAAAATTATTTATGAGCAGAAATTGTGTATGGGAACAGAATAGTTACCAAATACACCCTAAGTCTCTTAGTTTCTCTTAAGGAGCATGATTTTCTACATCAAGCATAACGATGGGAATAGCTACTTAAAGGTGGAAGTTAAGAAAAGTCAGATAAATCTAACTTTAGATCATATTGAACTATAGCACATCATATCATATTTGATTTCACACACTTTCGTTTTATCATCTACAATGTATAAATAGTAATATCAAATGACAGTCGAAGATTAAGTTTGTAAAATCGTACCTGAGCTGGGTTGAGCCTTAAGGTCGGTCCTAAATTTTTGCCAAGCTTATCCATCATAAATTTTTTTATATGTAAATCTTCGGGCCATGTCAGGTTTTTCAGCAATTGCTCTTACTCAAGCCTGTCAAAAAGTCTTCGATACCTCGTGGCTAGGGCCAAATAGTCAGATTCGTGATAGTCCATTTTAAGTCATCACCTTCCAAATTCTCATTGTAAGAAAATTATATACCCGAATTATAATAACCAACCGACGGAACGAAACAAATGAACTTCAGCCCCCAAAAGGTTAAAAAAAAAGAGCGAAAATAAATTGACGCTCCCATAGCCATTGCTTACGAATGATTTTAGCCTTCTTGGTCCATACTCGGGTCCTATATTCCTGCATGTGCTAGGTTAAATTGAAAAGTCAACGGAAATGTTCCAAGATTGTTCGCATTAACCTTTTCCTTAACCCCGGTGTTAAAAAATTATTTATGAGCGAAATTGTGTATGGGAACGAATAGTTACCAAATACACCCTAAGTCTCTTAGTTTCTCTTAAGGAGCATGATTTTCTACATCAAGCATAACGATGGGAATAGCTACTTAAAGGTGGAAGTTAAGAAAAGTCAGATAAATCTAACTTTAGATCATATTGAACTATAGCACATCATATCATATTTGATTTCACACACTTTCGTTTTATCATCTACAATGTATAAATAGTAATATCAAATGACAGTCGAAGATTAAGTTTGTAAAATCGTACCTGAGCTGGGTTGAGCCTTAAGGTCGGTCCTAAATTTTTGCCAAGCTTATCCATCATAAATTTTTTTATATGTAAATCTTCGGGCCATGTCAGGTTTTTCAGCAATTGCTCTTACTCAAGCCTGTCAAAAAGTCTTCGATACCTCGTGGCTAGGGCCAAATAGTCAGATTCGTGATAGTCCATTTTAAGTCATCACCTTCCAAATTCTCATTGTAAGAAAATTATATACCCGAATTATAATAACCAACCGACGGAACGAAACAAATGAACTTCAGCCCCCAAAAGGTTAAAAAAAAAGAGCGAAAATAAATTGACGCTCCCATAGCCATTGCTTACGAATGATTTTAGCCTTCTTGGTCCATACTCGGGTCCTATATTCCTGCATGTGCTAGGTTAAATTGAAAAGTCAACGGAAATGTTCCAAGATTGTTCGCATTAACCTTTTCCTTAACCCCGGTCTGACATTAAGTCGAAGTACTAGTTTAAAAGAACATAAAATAGTACAAATAATCGTATGAAAATCCTAATATAGCATTGCGTGGGCTTCTTCGGAGCTTTCGCATTTATGCATATCGAATATGAAGTAATATAACTTTGTAAATCATTTTCCACGCTTTACATTTTTATCTTTTCAATTTTTAGAATCATTGGATGAATGACGTGTGCAATAAATTCGAAAACTAAAGAACTTTTTGAGCGAACAGATCACTTATCTCATTCTTCGTTATACCTTCTTTACTTTAGATCCTCCACATATGCGACTGCTGCCGTTTAATTCTTTTTACCATGCCGTCCAAATCACCGGAAGGGTTAAAATGACCCGCGTAGAAAGTGCACTCAAATGCCGCTCAATTGTTAACTACGCATGTCGTTTCATCTTTGACCAGGAGTGACCTGTTTGATAGAGACAAAACTGTTGTCGTTCATATCAAAATGTCCGAGTTTCATCTTATGTTGAAGGGTTTAGCTGGAAAAGTACGAGGCATGAACATGGCCGAAGTGAAAAGTGGTTGGTCAGTATGAGCTCTTGCCTTTAATATTTTAACTGGAATCCAAAAATGGACCATAAACAAAGGGGATAAAGTAGAACATGGAGGTGAACTTGGAGAGAAAAATATATAAGTAGTAAGAGTTTAAGAACAGAGAACCAAGGGATTATGCGCGGAAACCGGTACAAGGAACCGATGAATCCTAAAGCAGAAAGCAACCCGTTTGAATTGTGTTCATGTTGTTAATTAAGTTTAGAATGATTTGCATATAAAGGAGGAGTGAGAACTTGGAAGAGGACATTTACATGTTATCATTTTGATGTCGTGATCCCACGCTTTCTGGACCCACGTTGTTCCTCCTCACTTCAGTTATTTCACGTTCTTCACCTTTTCATATCCTTGTGATTACATTCACCTCTTCCTATTAATGTGATTAACTACAATTAATGTAATTAATTATGTGATAATTATCACATCTTCGTATCCTCACTTCTCCATTGTCACCTCTTCCTATTAATATGATCAATTACAATTAATATAAATGATTGTGTGTGATAATTATCACCCCTTCATATCCTTGTGTGATAACTTCCCACAATTTAAATAACAACCTGATGGAAGGATGTTATAAAAGCTAAAAATGGGATATGGGAAACAGATCTAAGCCAAGCTCTCTCGTAAAGAAAAACACACCATCAAGTTGAGAGAGAATATTGGATTACTAGTGCCTTCTTTTTTTTGTCAAAGCTCTGCGAATTCAATTCCAACCAAGCTTAATCAATCGTTGGAGGTTATGGTTCATATTTTTATTTTTTGGCATTTGATTCTCTTATGCATGAATTTACATTCTTCAATGCATAATTAGATCATGCTTAGTTTTATCATTACAAACAATGGCAAAGATCGCATTCTCCATTTTTCATCATCGTCCTCATGATCGGTTTGTCACTTACAGCCAATACTTTGGGCACCAACTGGTCCATCAGTTATGGAGAAACATTGATTTCTTCAGACCTAACCTTTAAGCTAGGATTCTTTACTCCTAGCAACTCGAGCATAAGCTACTTGGGCATATGGTACAAGTTCATCCTGAGACGGTTGTGTGGGTTGCTAACAGAAACAATCTGCTAGCCAATCGTAACGGTGTTCTCACATTTAGCAATATGGGCAATCTAGTCGTTCTCAACCAGCCGAATGGTGTTTGTTTGGTCTTCAAACTCGTCCAGGGTCCTCTGCAATCCAATTGCGCAACTTCTGGATTCGAGAAATCTTATTCTTTGGGATAATTGCAGTTCGAATACCGATGAAGCCTATTCGTGGCCAATTTTCGATTACCCGTTTGACACACTTGTAGCTGGTATGAAGCTGGGGTTGAACTTGAAAACGGGTCTCGAACGGCGTCTAACTGCGTGGAAAAGCATGGGTGACCCTTTTCTTGGAGATTATGTCAAACTGCAGTCAAGGTCTACCTCTGTGTGAGCTAGTCCAAGTGGATGTGCATAGCAAAAACTATCGAAGTGGGTGATGGAATGGAGTTCAACTTGCTGGCGTTTCCCTCGCACCAAATTAGTCATTTCTTAAATTATAATTATCCAGATCATTGTTTTAAACTATAATTATTAAATGATAGGTCACTCTTAAATGAATGTAAGAGTTATCTCATTTACACATATCGAACATAAAAAAATATAATCTTGTAAATCATTTTCCATGCTTTTTTTTTATCTTATCACTTTATATACTCATGTTGGACGAGTGACGTGCGCAAAAACCTCATATATATATACACACATATGTGATTCTTTGAGTGAACAAGTCACCTGTCTCATTCTTCATAAATCCTTTACGTTACAGCCTCCGCAAATTTGCTGCCGTTTAATTCGTTTTGCCGTACGGTCCAACCCATTTGAAGGGTTAAAACGACCCAGGCGAAGAAAGTGCACCCAAACGCCGCTCAAGTGTTAAATTCCTAGACCAAAAAAAAAAAAAGTGTTAAATTCGCTTGTCGTTTCATGAAGTCCAAACGGGCATGGTTGACCCTGGGTTTGATAGAGATAATCGAGTTATGCCCATGTCAAATTGTCTGAGTTTCA